GGGGGGAATAGGGGGATGGTTGCGGTGGCGTGGGGTAGGAATGATCAAAGATGTTGCAAAGCATATTTGGCGTCAATGGCAACACACTATCAATGTTTCCAATTTTATGTATTTGCAAGTACGGCATCTGATGTGTATAATGATCACCTTCAATGATGGAAATTATGAGATGTAAGTATCCGTATTTGTACGCGCTGTAATCAAGTCAATTCTTCGATATCACACTGTTTGATCTCTAATGGCTATGTATAATTGTGTTTCACCAATGAACATCTAATCATAGTGATTGGAAGAAGTGGAAAGCAAATGTGATAAAGTGGAAGGTAAATGTGATAAATTGTTGTGCGGGGCAAGGCCTAACACAATCGTTCATTCAAAAAAGGAATGAGGTCCCCGGACTGTGCATACTGCATTCTTGTAATGCTCTAAAACATAATAGATGGTTGCGAGCAGTTGTGAGTTGTTCATGTAATGCAGCTTCTCTTCCACTGCCTTTTTTTCTTCCTGTGAGGCATTCGTTGCTCGCGATACCGTAACTACGTTCACATTGATCACAACAAATATTTGTTTCGGCATGTCACTAGCTAACATAATTTCTCAAATCAGCTATGTAGTAAAATATTCACATGCGTAGAGCAGGGTGCGTTGTGAAATAAGAGAAATCAAGAGGCGAAGATATCGCAGAGTCAGCGAGGGAAGGGTGGATTAGTACCGCCTCCCCCCCCCCCCCCCCCCCCCCCCCCACCCTTCCTCCCAAAGGTGTATTACGGTATCGCTGCAGCCATCTGCGTTGCATTGCATGGTTGCTTCGCAAGGTGCACACCTTTATGATACACCTACTTGTAATAGGACACTGCTTCTCCCTACAGAGTGAGAGGATTGTTATATTATCCCGGGCTAGCGTGAATGAATATTCTGTTAATATATCATTAGAGAACCTATATTTGTTCAATTCTGGACCTTTCTGGCATTTTTAGCATGAACTTTACACAGCAATTCGTCAGGTAAATCATACTACCTCTTTCATTCTCTCTTCATTTTTCAACAACATAATGACCTGTGAATTTCGAGTTCGCACGCTTGCCTTTGCCATCCTATCCACATTTTTGTCCTATCATCTCTTAATCATTTATTTGACTAACAAGCCTAGTTGCTTATTTGTCAATCCTTCCAATTTTCTTTTTTAGTTGTACCCACTAATCTATCTTTGTGTTGTACCATATAGTAAATCAGCTTTTCAATTATCAGTGGTCACAGTGGTCTATATATCATCTCATAATATTAAAAGAATGTTGGAAAAGTCGAAGATGAATCAAAAATGTCTTGCGAGTGCTCACAGAAACGACCTCTAGTATAACTGTTCAGGTATTGTGGATGGCCGGTAAAAAAGGTAGCACGCGTTTTCTCATTGATTCAATACTACGAGAAGACGAGAACGTCAACGATACATTTTTTTGCAAAAATTGGTAGGTCGTATTTTCTAGAGTTACCGTTTACTGTACCCACGTTGAGTACTTACCTCACCTTACTTACCTTAGATATCCTGTTGTATCAGCATCATCGAATTTCGGGCTGATTCGTGCTCTGATGCTTTCAGAAATCTTTCAGCACGGGAACTGTGTCGCAGTCATAGTACTCCCTTATTGCAATCCTCTGGCAAAATATTTTCACTTTCTCCAAGTTCGAAAAAGGACCCACACGTTCAATTATTAACCAACAGGCCGTGGCCATGCAAATAGTAGCAGGTATACTGTAGCAAAATAAATTAGAACCACCTCTTTAACTATTTTAAGCTTTCTTTTTTAATAATTCTAATTGGCGTTTAAAGAGAAGTATTACAAATGCCATTGTCCCTGGATTTCGTTTGGGCTGAAGATGACTAGATATAAAATCACTGTATTCCATAGAGGGCTTCTTAGAAACTAAGCCTCCAACGAGTCCAACTTCTCCTACTGCTGTGATGAAATTAGAGAACTTAGATATGTTAACCCATTGGCGACCACGCTTTTATATTGTCCTTACATTAAGCGTTTTTTTCTCATATCTGTAGTTAGAAATAAATAATTCCTGGACCGCAATGCTTCAAGATTCTCCAGAAGGCTGTGAGCTCAGTGATACATGAAAACATGAAAAAATTATAGGATCACCTGGTAAGTAATATAAATACCCAGCGAGCCAAAAACGTGTGTCCTGGCATCGGGACGCATGGTCGCCAACTTTTTAAACGAGTATTCAAGCCTTGAAGCCTACATTGAAAATGTGACTCACGTCATGCAGCATTTCTTGCTCACAATCATTTAGTGCAGCTTAATGAACACAAATGAATAATGCTTTTCGAGTCTAGGTTGGTCAACATTGTTGGTGTGTGGTTTATAACACATCGGTTAATAGAAAATCCGAAAAAATAGAAGTAAGATCGAGCCTAATTTGGTAAAAACAAGATGCCATATAATTAAACAATCTTCAGCTTCTTTCCGGCTAAGTTTATTGTGCCAAAAGACATTTCAACGACAAAGAGTGAAAGAGATTCAAAACGAGACATCCTAAGCAGTCTCATTCCTCACACAACGAATAACAAGGTGGAGGAATGCGCGTGCACAAATTCATCCCTTCCAACACACTACTCATTACAAATGGTATTACTATAGTAAATTGAGTACTAGTGAATTCAGGGCAATGTGTAAGAATTTAGAAAGCGTTTCTCGTTGCTTCTTTTTATTATTTTTCCAAACTACAACTGATGCAACAAGCGATTGGTAGTAAAACGTATTCGTTCGTGCGAGCCCAAGTCAACGCGCTTCGTTTTTCCGATAGAGGTGGGTTTTGAGAATCAATTATTTTCGAGTCGTGGAAAGCTGCGGCTTTTCAGGTTTCATTTCGTGCTATCACGCGCCAGTTTTTCGATCGACGAGACCACTTGGTAGAGGAAATCCTAAGAGACACCGATGTGATGTGTGCTACAAAACGTTTAGTAGAAGCAACACCTTAATCACGCATAAGGTGAGGACGATAGAGAGCTTATTCGATGGAGCATTTGAGTGTAATTTCAACTACGAAGGCACATTGAGGTGGTTCTGGTTGTTTTATACTAAAGCACGACAGTACAACTTTCATGCTGCATACCACGTTGCGTACCGGCGCCCTCTGTGATTTTCCTACGCGCGTGGCCAAGCGATTTTTTTCGGCTCGCGGCGTGCATCACCATGTAATGCACTTGGCCACACGGAACGGTTTTTTTCTAACACTGTGAACTCTCTACTAATGGAATCCGATTTTTTCTATAATGTTTTCGCATATGGAGAACAACATATCTGTCTAACACTCTGTGCTTTAAGATGTTCTGTTGGTGAACTGTGTGTGCTAAATCTAGACCTAATGAAATCTACTTAGTGCTGAATCTTTCGATAACAATTCCAACCGGCCGATGTTCTTGACTTCAAATTGTTCCGCTAGGCGAAAGGTGCTCTTCTTTCCATACATCGACTTTGTGTCCTCTCGTCTCATACCAGGAGAGCAACTTAAAGTCCGATGAAGTTCTGTTATCGATTCTGATAGTGTTCTAAATGGAAGCTTTGGAGAATTCATTCGTGCAACTGCTTATTGAGAGCGATGAAGAAGCAGATAATGAAAATGTTTTGGGAGCTCCTGATGGATTGCTCGTTGATGCTGTTGAATCAAGTGATCATGAAGATAGTGAAGTAGAACCTGATGCCGGTTGGCTTCGACTATACTTCAATCAAGTGTACTACCTTTTAACGAAGATAGCGGAATCCGAAACGACGATGCCTAAGCATTCAGCAATCCTATGAGTTTCTACAAGTTATTCATGACAGACGAATTGGTGAGACTGGTGATTGAAGAATAGAACCGTTATGGAGCCGGTCTGCGCTCGAAGAGCAGGAGTTCTACAAGTTCTTGGCCACTTGTTTCCATATGAGCATCGAGAACAGGTCTAGTCTCAAAGAACACTGGTCTACAAGAATTATATACAGCGGATCTTTCGCAGCCAGACTGATGACAAGAAACCGTTTCAGTGAGATTTTAAACTCTCTCCACTTCGCCGACAACGATACCTCGGACAAGAGTAATCGATTCTTTAAGGTGCAGGATGTTATTCATTTGATGAACAAAGCGTTTGGTGATGAGTGCGCAAGAGTACAGAAGATATGTTACAATAAAACTTGCTAGTAGCGTTAGAATCGGGATTAATATTACGGTGTGTGGACGCTCTATATTTTCTCAGCTGTTGGAGTCCCAAGCAGATATGTCGTTCAGCATGTTATAAAATATGTCTGTAAATTTTGACCAGTATTGCTCCATAAAGAGAGTAGAAATTTGAGTGTGAATTTCATGCATCACCATGTGATGCACGTGGCCACGCGGGCAAGTATTAGGTTGGCAAATAAGTCCCGCGACAAAATAGAGTAAAAAGGACAAAGTAAAGGATAAAGTTTTTGGCGTTAATCAATCCCGTCTGAGGGATGCTCCCAGACAAGTCTGGTACCAATTAAGCGAACCCGAAGGAATGGAAGGCTTGGTTGGCCTCGATCCGGGGTTTGGAACCCACGACCGTGCGTGTGATATAGTGCGCCACTTGCCACTACACCACCTCCGCGCAACACCATAGTAGAAGTGAAGAATTCCCAGAAGAATCCTTTTTAAATCATTTCCAAATATTTTCATGTCAATCAATTTTCGGAAAAATATTTACCGAAGAAGTCAACAACCTGCTTGTATTCTTTGAGCCAATCGCTTATGCCATCCGTTCAGGAGTGAGGGAGCTGTGACTCAAAGAAGTAATTTACTGCCGTTTTTGGATCACATTAGGTTACGAATTTCTTTCCCCCAACGGGATGCTCAAAAAAATGCGGAGCACATGGGAGGTAAAAGAGGGAACACTCCGGAAGTGCGACTGATGAGTAACCTGGAACCAAGCGGGATCGGTGAACTTTTGACGTGGGTCTAAAACGAATTTTCGGCGTGCGTTGTCCCTCAGTAGGGACCTGATTTACGGTTTTGATTGTCCTTCTCTAACCCCGTTGGTCAAATAACGGGCATCATATAGGCAAGCGATAGCTGTTTCCATTTGGTCTGCGTTTAGCAACTCATAGTGAATGGATTCCTTCAACCTCCATTGAATTAAGGGACGATGCTTGCGTTGCTCGGAAAACAAGTATCTCCTGCAGTGAAGCGATCCAGCAGATTGTTGACCGTCGATCGGTGAGTAGCGCTAGCATCAAATAGATAGATGACCTTTTGGGCCGCTACACCCGCGTTTTTTCCTTGGCGTGCTTGGTAGAAGGTGATGGTACGAATCGGGAGTTGTCCATTCATTACTCATGTGTTGATTGCCCGAGAAATGTCCTACACGTTTATTACCCTTGCTATCGTGTTCACACTGTTGATACAAATTTTCAACGCTTCGAATTTTTGTCGCAGGACTTATTTGCCAACCTAATATATGCGTGCATCACCATGTGATGCACTCGGTACGCAGTGTGTTAATACTCATGAGGGAGCTGCTTAAACAACAACAATACGACTATTTTTCGGCAATCACGTGTTTGATGATCCCTCAGTATAGATGAACAGTACTTCCTCCATCAGATTCAGAACAGAATCAGTTGGAAGTTTCGACTGAAACTTTATTTTGTTAAGACTAGGGATTGTATTAGGATTTGACGGAAAGTTTTGTGAAAAAAAATGAACCTGAATCACATGGAGCCACACACACATTGTGAAAGTGTCAAGATCACGAAAGTGTATGCGATTTCAATTATAAAATAGCAAAAAGCATTTTTTGCGCCTGTATCGCATGTCGTCCCGTTGATCATCGATTTCCTCGAGCAGGCGCCAGTAACGTCCAGATTCGTGCATGTCGCGAGCCAGTGTAGCTCAGCGAATCGTACTCGTTCGAGGGACGCGGGGTGGAACGTTCCTCTCTTTCAGAGCTTCCATGACGAAGTCTGACCATCTCATTGGCGGCCGTCCTGGAGTTTGTTTGGTGTCCCAACAAATCCAGACTGTAACCACCCTCGTCCAACAGTTATCACTATATCGCATGACGTGCCTGGCCCATCTGATTTTATAGTTCTTGGCTACTCATCTGCATCCCTGATCTTCATTCGTGCGGAGCCCGGAACCCTAGAATTCCTTCTACGCTTGCGCGTGTAGGGAAAATTTGAGCATCCTCCTTTTCACAGCTCGTTGAATGACGCTAACTGCATGCTCATCCTGCTTATGTAGAGTTCAAGTCTCTAAGGCGTATGTCAAAGCAGGAAGGACCGCAGTGTCAAAAAGGTCAGCGCAGGGCCGTATGTTCTTTCCTTCTTCACTACTCCCTCGATGTTTTTAGATGCTCACCACGCCGCGCGTTTCCTTCTGCGCAGCCCTGGTGCTAGGTCGTTCATCATGTTGAATTCCCGACCTAGATACACATAGCTAGAACATTCGGAGATATTCGTTCCGTTTAACGTGAAAGGAGCATCAGGTACCAGTACGTTTTTCATGAACATCGTCTTCGTTAAGTTTAGTCTCAAGCCAATCTTTTCACAAGCATTGTCAAATTCGGTTAACATTCGTGTCACCTGCTCGATGTTCGGTGTTATGAGCACGATGTCGTCTGCAAAGTGTTGATGTAAGTAGCGGACGTCGACCTTAACTCCCATGTCTTTCAATTTCACATGAAGCATGGTGTTCATGGAAACTGAAAATTGGGCGAGATGGTACCACCCCGCTAAAAATCTCTCTTCACGTTGATGGTGGCTTCTTCATAGTATGGAGAGATACTGTTCGTGAAGTGCTGCAGAGCTCGCAAAACGTTCTTATATCTTGAGTAGAAACACCTTGTTTGCTCAGGGATTCAATTACCGCTCTTGCCTCGACTGCATCAAAGGCTTTTTTACGATGACCGTAAGAAATAGAGGCATTTTGTGCTCTCGCGGTACTTCAATTAGTCTTATAAGGGTGTGGATGTGATCGATTGTACTGAACCCTCTCCAAAACCTGCCTGCTTGCTTGGTTGTTCTTAATCTAACATTGCCAGTCCTGTTAAGAATGACTTGTGTGTAACGTTTTTAGATAACAAACAGCAAGCAAATTGCGCGGTAATTGTCAATGTCGCCTGGATGTTCCTTATTATAATACAGTCCTGCTAGTTTTCCATGGAGTGGGCACATTGTATTCCGATAGGTACCACGTAAAAAGCCGGGCCACGGGTTTGACAATGACAGGCGGAAGTCTCTTTGGATGATATGCTTCAATCCTGTCGAGGCAGTGTGCCATACCATTACTTATCGACGTGATGGCATGCCCAATTTCGGATGGGAAGCCATCTTGGTCTTACAATTGGCGAAGCCTTGTCGGGCTTTGCGAATGCTATTCCCGGTATCAACGGCCTCGTCCATAACTGCTGCTCCTCTCCCTTTCAAATTTTCCGTTATCGCTTCCCTGCTCAGCTTCGCAATTTCGGATGCTTGTTGATGATAACCTGCAGCTCGCGCCATTCCACGCTGGCGTATCAGCTCGAGAATTTTCCAAGAGAGTCAATTATCAGCTACATGTGGACTCTCTGCTTTCCTAGCCTTATCGTGGAGATGTTCGACGAGCCGATTGTATTCTTCATCGATGTTGGCAGTGTATTTTTCATCGATAACAGAATCTTCCCATCCACTTGCAAGGGAACCTAAGTAGACCCAGTTGGTAAAGGTCTTGCGACATCGTTTTCCAAACAAACAACGGCGACGTCAGTCACGTAAAATTTCCGATTGAAGATTGTTATAAAATGCTTCCAGCTCTTCGTTGTAGTTTAATGATTTGCATAAACAATGAAGATTGTTAGAGCTGGGGTTGAGCCACATTTTTTTGATCGCAAGCGTCCGATACGGGTTGTCAAACTTTCGTACGAAGCGATGTTCATGGCCAAGTGCGTGTTGATGCCTACACCACCAACGCCTCTGCTGTCGCATGTTCCAAGGTACAGTTATTCTCCAGTCTCAAATACAGCAAACAGCGGGCGACTTCCTACGTCTAGCATGCGCTATCGAAGTAATGTATATATTTTTATTCATTTATAAACCATACAAGCCGACATCTAAAAACGGTAAAAACGAAAGCGTGTGGTACAGTGACAGGTTATCTCTCGTTTGGTAGGCAGATATTTTTCCGAGCAACTCCTTGTAACGCAGTAATTTAGTCGAAATGTACCGGGGCTTGCTGTGTGCAACTTAACGCGTGGAGAACGAACTCAACCGCGACCCTAGGCGAATAAAGGAAATCCGCTTATTCCAAGGCTTTTTGAAAGTAGTGGAAGGGGAGGTTTTACGAGATCACCATGACGGGAATGGCATGTAAGGGGTGTTTGGACGAGATTCAAATTGTTCCCTTTGCGCAAAGAGATGACTACATCAAAGTCATCTCTATGCGCAATGCCAAGCCTGAATTGTTCGGAAATGCTTTCTGCTGTCGCCATTGATTATGACAAGGTATTTGAACTTCCTACATGGGAGTCTCTTGAAATAGTGCAGCCTCTACGAAGTCGCTGGAAGCACTATTGGAGAAGCATTCACATGATACAACCTCTGTCCCCTTATTATGCTCGTTATGCCCTATCTAAGACGTTTTCCGACCTTATAATGGCAAGTATGGTATAAGGGTGAACCCCGAATCCATACTATAAGAAAATCCCAGAAACCACTTTCATCATGATCGGTGCCTTTAAGCAGAGAGGTCGTCATCGCTCCAGTTCCTTGACAACTACGAACCACAGTTTCGAATGCGAAGCGGCAAGCCGGTCAATACGAAGCTTCGCATGGCTGGAACTTACCGGAATTTCGCATCAGAGTACATCATGGAGTACTAAAAAATTGCAAATACGGTTTATTCCTTTTCACATAAGAGTGGTGAAAGTAGACATGCTTACACTCCGCACGTTTCATCCTCAACGTTTCACTAATATACCGCGTTGAGGTGGAAGGCCAGCGGAGAGGGAGGGGGAAGGGGATTTCTGTTTCTGTTTAGTTTTCTGTGCCACTTTATTAATTATTACTAGAGGGCGAGCAGCTATTGAAGGATGGTAGCTCCGAAGATGAGAATATGAAGGGCGAGTGTTTCTTACCATGTAGAAGCAGCAGAACGACTGTCTCTCTGTTCACTGTGGAGCGGAAAGTGACAAGATGTCAAGCATAAGACAAATATGGCATTATTTTGTATTTAGCGTATACATACGGGAGAAAAGCCATTTAACTGTGACCACTGTGGCCGTGCCTTCCGTCAACCAGGAAATCTCACCCGACATCGCCTCACTCATACTACGGTAGGAAATTCATTATTAGCAAAAAAATCGTACCCGTGCGCACTGTTTTTAAGGTCAAACCATATGTGTGCGTTCAGTGCGAGAAGGCTTTCAATCGAGCATCAAACCTTCATACTCACATGAAGACTCATAAATTGAACTGATCGTTCGATAAACTGTTAACTTCACGTTTCCTATAGAGTTGACGTGAGCATCCGTCATTTTGAGATTTCACTAGAACACAGCAATATTTTTGCAGTCTTTTATAATTACGCAACATGTTGGTGCTTTCCATGAAAATTCTATCTGTCTCTGTCTGTGTAACAAAACAGCAACTGAACAGTACAAAGTAATCAGAATGAGTTGGAAGGTTTTAATATTGCAAACGTTTTTTCAAGTAGTCTGGGATATGGTGTGGACATAAAGAATTGACATAAACGAAAGCATGTGCTCAGTTTGATGAATTCGAAAGAGCGATATGGTGCGGATATAAAGAACTGACATGAACGGAAATATGTATGTGCCCACTTTGATGCACTCGGAAGAGATGATACAAAATATCACTTTCAAGAAAGTATTGGAAGTATAAGTGGAGGAAATGATCTACACTTACATGCTGAAATGAGGGCAAACAGCTGTCTGCAATAACACTGATCACTTGCTCGTGTAAGAAGAGGAGCTCCAACTATATCCATCTTTCATCCAACTCTTCAGCCTTATATGACCTTGTGCCTGCCATTGTGTTTCCCAACCTGTTACATTTATTCAGTGTTACTAGCAGTTCTGGGCGGAGGTGGTGTAGTGGCAAGTGGCGCACTATATCACACGCACGGTCAGGGGTTCGAAACTCGGAGCGATGCCCGTCTAGGCCAACCAAGCCTTCCATTCCTCCGGGGTCGGTACCAGACTCGTCTGAGAGGATAAAAGCACTGACTTGTACATCGGCCGGACACCGCAAGTCACTGTATGGGCCACATACGCACTCATTACGCCACTACGATTCTGAATGGAAGTCGAGTGCGGGGGCGCATCCCTTAGACGGGATTGATCAACGCCAAAAACTTTACTTTAAACTTTAACTATCAGCCCCAACAAAATTAAAGGTTACACAATAACATGAAAGGATTTCACTTGCCTCCAGTTATTCGGACCCCGCCGTGCGGGATTTGGGATCCACGCGAAAATCGCTTACTCAATTTTCCTTCTTCTATTTGCTACGAAACTTTAGAAATTTGTTTTCTTCAAAATTGGGCATGTCATCGAACCCTGCTTAACGTTTGTAACAAGATGGTATTCTGAGATTTTCAGATAGCTGATTCTAGAGCATATCGATTTCTTTAAATTTGTGGGGATATTGCGTAGGAGTCTGAGAAGATAACGACGAATTCTATAAAGAGTTCTAGGCTGAAGTCAGACTCTACAGGAACTTGTTGGCAAACCTGATGACAGCTGAGCGTGCTACGGCCACTCAGTGCTAGAGATTCATTGGACTTCTCTGATGATACACCGCTGGTTCAAATACGGTAGCAATCCCTCTAAACATATGTTGTAGTACTGACAGATGTCATACAAGAACTCGTTTTACGTGCTACTCTGAGATGAAGTGACTTATTCCAATGATTATAGCCAAAGGGGAAGTTAGCTACATATAGCACTTTGAAGTATAAAGCCGTGGTTTACCATGACACTCCGCCATTGAGCGGAGCCGCAAGGCAACACATAAATTCCATACAAATGTGGCAATAGAAGAATGAGAGCAAGTGAGATCAAATACAATTCACCAAATCAAAGCATAAGGCAAAAACGACTAGGTGAGCGAACTGTGGTAGATGTTCTGTAAAAAAACGTTGCTCCAAATACTGAAACCAGTTATATCCTGTATACATCCACTGGGCACATCATTCAGGCGCTGACATTACTTGTCCAAGAAACCGTTCCGCTCGGATCATATCCGGACGATTGATGCAACGAAAACGGAAGGCTACGAAGCGATCGATGTGTTGGCAACAGCTCAGCGAATAGTAAAAGTAATATGAGGCGAAAAGCGGTTGACCCACAGGCAGATTCTGGCAAACGAAGTGAAGACACGTCGAAGAATAACTGAAGAGACAGTCGAAAGTAGAAAAATGACTGAAGTGAATGGCCGTCGAAGTCGAGCCAGTAGAGGATGAGTCGAAACGAAGATTGCAGTATATCAGTGAATATATGGCCGACGAGGGGCGTTGTGAAGGGTGGTGGAAGACAACGGAGAAAGGTGAGCGTAGGGGGACAATTGATGAAGAGGGGCTAGCACAGACTGTTTGCACGGTCGTGCGACATACGGGATCTTCCTCCTTTCGAATGAACTTGAAGTTTTCGAGTATTCCAGCAGCCATAACACCACATTGTGGTCTTGACCACAATGAGAGCAAACGATGTCACAGTTGTTAGCATGGCGGGGTTGGTCGCATCTGTCGCTAAATCGTAGATTCGCAGCTTAGACTGCACGAAATTTATCATTTCGTATGCAGGTCATGCCGCATTATACATAGGTTTTCCATTTGCAAGGCTTCGGATCGACGAGCTGTTCACTGCTCAACCACTGCAGTCACCTTATCTATGGTGGATCATGAATATCAGTGACGATAACCCTACGAGTTGCTGTATCGGCGCGATTGGCCTCTGTCGACACATGAAAGAAGACCGCTCTCACGCTCTCAGCTTTTAGGTTTGTCGCTCTGCTTCGTAATGCGGCATTTCTGAATCTTATAGATGGTGGAGAACTCGTTGGGACCTTATCCACGAGGGCGCAGTCACACAACAGAAATTTTATTCGTTCAAATTTGATATTGCTGGCAACAACATCGAATAGTCAAACAGTATATAGTTTTTGATAGACGAATGTTATAGTGTTCCTGTAAGTTGCTCGACAATAAACTCTTGTTGAGGTGCCGCGCAGTAGTGTCAATAATCCTAAGCGAAGGCAGTCAATTAGATACTTATTTCTGAAAGTTTTATTATTATAAATCAACATATTCGGCCGGTTAAGTGTCCTGACGCGAGAATGTTATCCTCAGATGTTGTTTAGTTGACGTCGTTTGTAGCTTGTGGAGTGGATGTTGTTGACCGAGCTAAAGCGGTGGCGCTGAAGCTCGATGAAGAGTTGGCGCTGAAGCCTGGTTAAGAGAATGGCGCTCTGCCAAAGATACCTTCCTTCAAAAGGTCATGCGAGCTCGCGTAGAACAACATATGTAATATGAAAAATGTGGTTGTCACGATAAACAAAGACTCTGTATTCTAGAAAATGTTTCCGTTGCAGACGCTGATTGCTAAAGCGTTTAAGAGTCGGCCGTGAGTCACTTCAATTGACGACTATTCTGACATTGATTACAGTAGCATTTGCTACAGATGCTCATCAATATGATCAGAAAGCCGAATCTTGGCTTGGTCTGCTTTGATTTTCAGTCGACGAGTGTGTTTTTCCACTAACCAGCGACGACACGTTTTGTTGTAGTAAAGTGTGCGCAGGCATCACTATTGCGTGATGCCATCGGTGGCATCTGCAAAAACCCACAAGACACAGCTGCAGTCATAAATATATGATTATGTGCGTGTCTAGGTGTGTGTGTCGGTGTGTGTGTGTTGGTGTGTGTGTCTATGTGTCCGTGTGGGGGTCGGCGTATGCGTGCATGCATGTGTATGTGTGCACCTATTTGTGTCTCGATGAGCGTGGCAGTGTGTGTGTCGATGTGACCTTGTGTGGATCGGCGTATGTATGTGTGTGTGTGTCTGTGTGTATGTGCTCATGTGTGTGTCTCGGTATGTGTCGGTGTCAGTGTGTGGGTTGGCATACGTGTGCGTGGGTGTGAATATGTGCATGAGACTGCTCTATCGTGAACCTGGCATCAGTGTTACATTCTGCCGTATAAGCTTCCCTAAACTTCAAGATCTGATGGGATAAACGTCAGGGTTCGCGCGCGCCGAATAAGCGATAGCGCAGAAAGTATAGGCAGGTAGGTGCATATGTGTGTCTCGGTGTGTGTGACGGTGTGTGCGCGTCGGTGTGATCGTGTGTGGATCGGCGTATGTATGAGTGTGTGTCTGTCTGTATATGTGCCCACGTGTGTGTGCCTAGTGTGTGTGTCGGCGTGCGTGTCTAGGTGTTGATGCGCGCATGCTTGTGTGTCGGTGTGTGTGACGGTGTGTGCGTGTCGGGATGAGTATGTCGGTGTGTGTCGTTGGGTTCCGGTGTGTCCGTGTGTGGGTCGGCGTGTGTGTCTAGGTGTTACTGTGCACATGCTTGTGTCTCGCAGGTCGGCGTATGTGTGCCTTTGTGTCGATGTTCGTATATGAGTGTCTCGGTGTGTGTCGTTGTCCATGCGTGGATCGGCGGATGTATGAGCGCGTGTCTGTCTGTATATGTGCTCATGTGTGTGTCTAGGTGTTAATGCGTGCGAAATAAGCGATGGCGCAGTGAGTATACGCAGGTAGGTTGCAAGAAGTACAGCATTAGCCGAATCACTCGACCACATTACCGGGCTGTATCTTCGTCATCGTGGTAAGAGAGACCGGAGGTGGAGCATGCGCAAAATTGAATATAGTCGATGATAAGCAGTGCTCAATCAAATTGGAATACAGATTAAATCTAGGAACTTTCGACATTTTTTATCCATCCATGGTAAATGGACCGAGCACCAGAAAAGGCCCAGTCTGGTTTAGGAATCTACGTCTATGTTCGAGTTATCCAAAAGTCGTGGAAAGTTTTTGAAGGCTAACATTGAGAGAGATGTAAAGCGTTCAAGCCTTCGATAATTACTAAGCCCATTTGGTTGTTTACGATGATCGCTCCCTGTGTACTGGTTAAGCCGCGAGAAGTAGCACGCACGAATAAATAAATAATATAAAAATAAACAAAGACGGCTGGCCTTGCTATCGAATTCCAGAGATTTTTCTTCTGGTGATCCAGATTACCAGTGTCAAGAGAGAGAACAAAAGAATTATTTTTATAACCAGGTCACCATCTCTTGTCGTATAGCTGTAGAGCATGGCTAGTGTGTTAAATCGTGCATGACTGTATCGCAGATAATGGTCATAGAAAATGGTAACAGCGCAGCTGTAGCGTCCTGATATGTTCCAAAGGATAAAAAGAGGTCTCAATAACTCGTCCCTAGACTAGAATCTTCGAGCGCTCCATGACACATGTGCGAATTCATCACGGTTCGATATCCACGAGGCGATACATGAATATAAAACATTCACAACAACAAATAAACATATACGAATCGTATGAGTATGGGTCAGGGTAATGAGCTCAGCCGCGCAACATACGTTCTTGGGATTAGCTTTTTTGATTCACTTGCAGAACAGGAAATCAGAGCCGGCTCCTGCAGCTTTTTGTCTCGACGGTGCGTGAAATGAAGAATGTAAACATATGTGATTATTAATATGATGACAACAGGGTTTTTATCATCGAGCTACGAATGGTTTGCAGAAACGCGATGGATTTATGTATGTGTGTGATGTAAACTGTAACTTTTGCACTTGCTTGATTTTCTCTGTATGGTCTGTTACAGTTCGAAGAATAGACAGATTAAATGATCAAATATGGTAATACCATGGGTAATGAAATCGATGAACTGCGAAGACTGTAGATAATTAGACAAAATGAACTAGTGAAAGCATAAAGATATACAGTGGATCGGTAAGTAAACTTATCATTCATGAGCTCGATGACGTTTCTGCGATGGTTCTAACGATGGTCCAGTCGCGGGTTCTGCGTTACAGAGAATCACATGGTGGTATCCGCCGCAGTTCCGAATTTTCTTCTGACAGGTGCCATGTGCGGGTGCCACCCAAAATGCAGCTATTTGTATCTTTGAGACGACCAGAACGAGCCACACTATCGCGGTATTTTGTGCAGAAAGAACATCTATGGTCGTTACCGCCGCAGAATAAGCACAAGAGTTGAGTAGAGTGGGCAAGCAAAGTGTCTATCTTGATCTCGAGAGAAGCCGGTCTATTCTGAAGATGTTGAAGACTTAGACGTTTGCATTGTGGGTGTTATCATATTCATGGTAAGAAGAACTGAAGCATGGAAGTAGTCAGGATGTCATGGAGCTGCGAGGCCAAGTGAAGTTGCGTCGTTGTTCTCGAGTGAGCTGGCTGACGTCGTGAGAGGATCGTTTACCATGAACTATGACCAGAAAAAAGTGCTAATCGAGTTAAATGGAACTGGTTCAGTAACGAGTTCTACTGCTCGAGTTTTCTGGGTATATTTGTGCTATGTTGTCAAGAAATTTATAGGTACGTACGTCACAATCATGACGTCTGTTTTGACGATTACAACAATCGCAATAGGTTCAAAAAGAAAGTCTATCGGAAGACCCCGATAAACCCTGTAAGTGATGCTGGGGCTAGGGTTCACTTCCAGCGTGTGAAAATGGTGCGCATAAGAGGACAGGCGTGCTACTCGAACAACGTTGCTCGCATTGGCGTTTTCGCCGTCGTTGAAGATTTCTCCGTGGTAGAGAAGGGTCCCAGTTGAAGTCATTGTCTGGAGTTTCCCTGCTCAACAAAACTAACAGATGTCGTTCACGTGCGCGCGATTGTATACTGGGCATATAACATTGCTCTCGTATTCAGGTAAGCATTTTATCAGATGTGACTGTTGAAGGACGGCTTCACGTGTTTCCTCTTTGGAATAGCGCAATATGCCGTTGTTTTCGAAGCTTTTTGACAACTATAGCAGCCCGTTATACTTGTTTTATGCAAAAAACAAGGCGATCACTCAAACAAATGTCAGAAAAGGTTTTAAAAGCCTACAATGAAAGAAGGAACACAATGCAAAAACCGCGACGGTGACGGCAAGAATTTCCGTCTGTGAAGCGAGACCGCTACCACTACGCTTCATCGACGTTTGATATCCAAAAGACGATTTTGAATTTTCAAGTTACACTTGTCAAGCAAATTTCAAAGCCCCATAACCTTTTAAAGGAGCCATTTTTTCAGTTTCAGTTCCTATGTTTGTAGAAGCATTCAAAACTCTATCGATTAATAGACGTCTCCATTCAAAGTTCCATGGTAAGTAGACTATTCCTAACTAGTAAGTGCCGAACCGTTAAGTATCCTACTTACTATAAAGCGCTTTGTCTGTCTGTCTGTCTGTCTGTCTGTCTGTCTGTCTGTCTGTATGTCTGTCACGAAATTCCTTAGCTCCTTTAGATCTACCTGGAGAGGCCGGGTCAAGTGTGGGATGGGTGGGCCAGGTCTCGAGAAGTATAAAACACACATCAGCTTAGCGGGGCCCCGCCCACAGTGGGCGTGGCGTGCCTCGAAATGAGCCATACTGAGGACCATGATTTCAAATTTAGTAACAAGACGGCTTCAAAACTGGAGTTTAAAGGTGGCTAGAGGTGTGCATTGGTCTCCAGAAATGCAGTTCTTTATGAAAACATTTATAACTCGGCTTGGAGAAAGCCAACAGAGAGGAAATAGTTGCTATGTGAGGAGCATTGTCGAAGATGTCTCCAGCATAAATGACGTCAGCGGAGGCCCGCTCACAATGGGCGGAGCGTGTCTCAAAGCTCACATCCCTTCTTACATTTATATACGAAAATCCATAACTCCAGTTCCCATAGACCTAGAAAGTTCAAACTTGGTAGGAGTACAGGCGCCATAGTGGGAAAACTTATGGTGGGTGGCAAAACTGGACTCCGCCTACAAGAATAGGACTGACGTTGCAGTGCAAGTGGTATTCCCTGTGATGGTCACGATGGTTATGCTACTGAAGTCTCGTTCTGTTGCACCTTATCACGAAGACGAACCGAGTGGCGCATTAGCGGATTATATGTATACACTTGGGTAGTATGGTATATGTGTATATAAGGGTGTCCTAAAGTTATGGGCGTCACTCATGGCAATGTGTTTAAAGCTCATAAGATGAGAATGAAAATGGCATATATATGCACGTTCGCTAACACTGAGTGTTGCAACATTCTACAATCATATTCCAAAACATTCCCCAGGAGCGCGAGTAGAGGTCCAAAGTTTGCTGTCGAACTCCTCGCCCGTTGCACAAAGGTGTCCTCCTTCACTTCTTCCCACCCGTTCTTCAATCTTGTTTCCTAGGACTCCAAACTGAGACTGCAAACTCGGCTGGTAATTCTCTGAACAGTATCATACTACACAACCATACGGAAGAGTCAAGTGAGTTAAGGTCTGTAAAGCAGGTTGGAGTCTTCGCTAATGAAGTCGGGCGGCAAGCGTCGGCACCGCTAGCAGACGAGCTTGCATGTACATAACTGTCCTGCTGGGACTGCGAGCTGTTTTGGGAAGTGCAGGAGGATCACTGTGCACTCCATGTCCATCGGAATGCCCTCTGAGCACAGACCTTCGTCAATTTTCACGCCGCTACCGACGAAACCATGGGGTTTAACCTTGCAAGCGGTTTAGCCAGTCATCCTAAAAAACATCATTTTGCTGCTCTTATAGCAACGTTCATGCAAGGGATCGTACGTTCGATGTTTATAGCCAGAACGTAAACGTTTTATTTGCTAAGGGATTTACAGTTAGAGAGAATGATGAAGGAGCGCGTGTATTCACTCAATGGAGTTAGCAACTTTCTGCATTTTTTGGCCCTGCACTGTCTGTTGAGATCAAAACTGAAACTCAAAATTTCTGCATACCATAGGAACGGCAGTGAAGCTCCTGCTTGACAATCCGCCTCATTGACAACAACAATGAGTCCTGCTCTTTTGCCATCTTTTTCTCTGTATCGTTCAATAGCCTTCTGCACTGATATTATAGGGATCACCAAAAAACTTATAATGCCCTTCCGCCGTTTGCGTGAAGGATTGCAAATAGTAACCCTTCACTGGGAGGCTTCTTTCACTAGAAGATCTGCGCAACCCTAGTTGGCTGATGAGGTAGGTCAAGAAAACTCGGTATCAGCGATATTAATTTATTCTAATGATTGATGTTAATTATTTTTTAACTTATTTTATTTTTGTTTCTCTTGTTGTTTCGTTCTCCAGGTTGTTCTTTTCGATGTTCAATTACGATGTCCCAGATTTTTAGCCGGTTCTACTGGCACGTTGAAAGCAAGGATAAGCTCTAGTTCTCTAGATTAAATTTCAAGGGAGAAGGAATTATGGAGACGAAATTTCAAGGGAGAAGGAGGTATGGTACGGCGGCAACTTCTTGTTAACGTCATTCATTTACGGTTTTCGAAAAAGCTCAACCCTTCAGGCTATCGAGTCGTGATGCGCCGTGCTCTTCTTCCCTTTTAGTGTCAGAATCGGAATCGGAACCTTCATGCGGGACAGTGCTCCGATTCACGTCAGCCGGTTTGGTCAGCATTAATTCGACGTTTTATCCTGGCCGGCCAACAGCCCTGACTTGACTTCACCGAAGAACATGTGGGGAGTCATGATAAGAAAGATTTATGAAGGAAACATGCAGTTGGAGGTATCGGTGAACGGAAGGAAGCGAACGTCAACGATTGGGACACCAGGTTGACCAGGAACTCATTGATAGCCTTCACTTTAGTTTGGATCGTATTTATTCGAAAGGATGGGAGCTCAGTTGATCACTGAACATGCGAAGTCCTCTGTTTGTCGTCATATAGCTGCTGAACAAAAAAATTTAGTCAGTGGCAATATAGGCAAATAGCATTTTCCAAAAAATAAAGGGAAAATTGCCCATGTTGTTGATTTGAGGCTTGTTGGTCTGCAAGTTACGGTCCGAGTAAAGTATGACTTCCATAATAAGCCTTTTCCTGGAGTGCCCTGGAACGTGGATTTTAGCGAAATTCATGGGTGGCTGTATCACTAGTGGACGAAGAGTACGTCCACAATGCATACGCTGAATAGGGATTGTTCCAAATGACCGAACTGTGTGAGGGCTGACAGAATCTTGAAAAAAGTAATAACCTGTGCCGTCTTCCTAATACTTTCTCCCTTCAAAATAGTCTTATTAGAACGTTGGGAGCAAAAAGCGAGCAGAACATTAAATTCGTTTATATAATTGGCACAAACCGTACAACATAGAAAATTCTAATCGAGACATACAGTAGCAGAAAGCCGATTGAGTTTATGATGACCAGTACTCCTGAACCTTGCGGCCATGTTCTGTAAGGATTCTAAGCGATGGGTAGCCGACGCAAACCGTTTGCAAAAACCACTTGGTAGCACAAGCAAAACTGAAATAAGCTTTCTAAATCTTGTTCAAAAAATAAACTCCAGAGAACCAATCTAAACTATAGCTTCATAGGAACAGCAACAGCAATGTTTTTAATCGAAGGCAAATTATGAGGTTAGCTATCCTCTATTATTGAAGAAATTGCTGCGAACTCTAATGTTTTTCAGCAGTTTTACCAAAAAGACTTCTGCTAAAGCAACAAAGAAAAACTCCTGCACTTCTACATGAACTACCAAGAGTTTAGAAACTCGACGCGGACTACAAAAAGGCAAACATAATAATTGAACTCTAGTTTAGTTGCATGCTATCGCTAGAATCGGAGCGGAACTCGCCACCAAGGCGGCATCCATAAACATAGAAAAAGACATTAATAATTGCACTAAAAAGCTATAGTGTCACCTCAGCCAGAAAATGCGCAGACATCTTGAGCAATAGTATCACCTACCACCTGCCAATTGTTGCCCCTTTGATCGTCATCCTCCTCGAGCGGGCGCTCCAACGTCTCCATTCGTCCCTGTTGCGAGCCACAGATCCAGAGGATCGTCCACGCTTGAGGAACACGGGATATTGCATTCATTTCGCTCAAAGATTTCGTGAGGAAGTCTAACCATGGCGCTGATAGCTCGTTTGACGTCCTGAGGGAGCCAGTCAACGCCCTGGACCAACGGTCATTGCGATATCATAACATAGCATAACCTTCCTTCGTTGCAAAGATCGGAACTCCAGACTCCCCTCTGCTCTTGCGTGTACAAAAAACTGTTAGGATCGTCTTAGAACGCGCTGAGGGACGGAGGCAGCATGTTCACCCTGTAGTGGCAGAATACAATTCTCCGAAGCACACGTCAAAGCAGGGTGTGCAGCGGTGTTGGATAGGTGGACGCGAAACCGAATGCTCGTTTTCTTTCTCACTACTCCCTTGGTATTCTTGAACCGCGCGGCACGCGGCGGGTTTCCTTCTGCTCAGCTCCGAGTTACTCATCTCGTTGAGCTCTCGACTTTGATGCAAGTAGTTAGAACATTCACCATTCGGAGATTTTTGTATCGTTTAGGCTGAAGTGAGCACCAGGTAGCAATTCGCTTCTCATAGACATCGTCTTCGTTAGGTTCATTTTCAAGCCCATCTCTCCATAGTACTGTCGAATTCGGCTTCAATTCGTTACACTTGCCCAATGATCTCAAGCACTATATCGTCTGCAAAGTGTACGTTAATCGTCGATCTTCACTCCCAATGCTTTCCATTCCTGAAGACACACGACATTTGAGAAACTTGGGCGAGTAGTTTCACCATTCCAAACCTCTCTCTTCACACTGCTAATGACGTTCCTGTAGAATGGTGAAATCCTGGTCAGGAAATTGCTGCAGTGATCACAATACATCCTTATTCATTAAGTAGCAACACCATGGCCGTGGTCGCCCAGGCTTCAATGGCCCTGCCTCGCCTTAAAGACCTTTTTTAACAAAATACATCAGAAGTAACGACATCCTGTATTCTCCTGCTACTTCAATGAGGTTGGAGCAGTGTGGATGTAATCGATTGTATCGAATCCGCTCCGAAACAATGCTTTCCCGCATAGATCGCTGTCTTTCATCCAATATTCTGCCAACTCTGTTGAGGATGTAGCGTGTGAAACGTTTATATAGTACGGACGGCAAGCAAATCGGGCGATAATTGCCAATATCGTCGAAATCTCCCTTCATATACATAAAGCAACAATTAGTTTCCAGTTTTCCCCGACGTGGACACTTTGCTTTTTGACAGATATGGCGTGCAGCGCTTAGCTAGAGTTCTGAACTGATTAGACGTTCCCTTTGATCTCATCAGGACTGGGAGCCAGACAATTCTTCGTCGACGCGGTGGCATGTCGAATTTCAGAAGGAAAAACTGAAAAAGCGTCATATCCGTCTCGTCTGAGATGGTGGGTATGCACATAGACGGGGCTATCGAAGAGAACCGAGTAGATGTGTCAGATGACCTTCTTCATTGAGATGCAGTAATTGTTCCGCCGCGACGACGGAGAGAATTTATTATGGTATTGTATTTGGCGAAGATTTTGCAGGCTCTGCAAATGCTGTTTTCGGCATCAGTAGCCTCGTCCGTGACTGCTGCTCTTCTCTCTTCCTGATCTTCCTATAGAGCTCTGCACAGTTTTGCATGTTCTAAATTTTGTTGATGATTGCCTGTAGCTCGCGCAATTTTACGGTGGTTTTTCAGGCCACCGCAAATTATTGCATGGGCTGTATACGCTTCTAAAATGCCTCCACGATTAGACGGGATTGATTATGATCTCGAGACTTTATCCTTTATTTTTTATCTTCAAAAGGTTTGAGGGTCAGTTGTATTCTTCATCGAGGTTGTCGATAACGGAATTCCCCCAAGGACTCGCGAAGGAAGTGAAGCGGTCTCCAGTTGATAAAGGTCTTGAGACTCCGTTTCCTAACTTCACACCTCTCTCTTCACGCACTAAGAAACAGAATCTAGCGCGGAGGAGGCAATGTTCCAATCCCGTATAGAACTTCGGAAATGCAACGATGTTAGTTAGGCCAATTTTTTAATTGAAAAAGATGTGGATTATCTCACTGTCGGAATGTCCTCTAGGTGACTTTCATGTCCATCACAAATGAGATGGCCCTCGAAACTGCTAATTCCCATGGTTGGTGTGGATCGACATGATGACTCAAACAGCCTTCTTTCATGCTTATACCACTCCATTCCATGCCATTCCGTAAAACCTCATGTGGAGCTCTTCAGACGGTTAGGTAAGGTTTAACATAAGAAAACTTGAATTACATGGATGCACAAGGTTCTTCAGCGATGGCTTGGAGCAGTGGTACGGGTGACGCCTCATGTGCGAGACACCAGGGTACGCGTTTCAACTTTCTCACCCGAAACATTCATGTCGCGTCAATTTATTTTTGCATGCTATATTCGTAGTAAGGTGACTGGTATCACTTCACAAACATATGTGGTGCACGGAATATTAGGAAACAAAAACTTTCTCACAAATGTAATAACAAAAAAATAAAAATTTCGTTACATCGTATTGCTTTGCAATCGCTTACCGTATCAGAAGAAGAACAAAATTGTGCATCATTGTATCAAGAGAGTAGTGAGGAACACAAAGAATTCGTTGAAGTATTGCGAGACGATTAGGCTTCGCCAATTACAAGTCATGATGACTTCCTTCGTCGTCCTGACAGAACAGTTACTGCATCTCGAAGGGCAATGGAGGAGGTAATCTACGACTTCCACTCGGATCTCTTTGACAGCCACGTCTACGTGCCTACCCACTATCTTAGGCAAGACGAATATATCGCTCCTTCGGTTCTCCTTCCGAAATAGGACATGTCATCACATCGATGACGAACTGTATGGCGCCCGGTCCCGATAAGACCAAACCAAAACATCTGAAGAGTTTTCCAATAGTTATCGTCATAACTGTGGCTAGGCTCTTCACACGGGACCTGTCGGTATGCATAGTGCCCACATCGTGCGAATTTGGCAAGCTTGTGTCGCTGTACAAGAAGGGAGATTCCGACGATATTGGCAATTATCGCCCAATCTGCCTGTTATCTGTAATCTATAAGCTTTTCACTCGCGTCATCCTAAGCAGGATTGGCAGAATATTAGATGAAGCACAGCCATGCGAGCAAGCAGGGTTTCAAGGAGTGTTCAGCACAATCGGTCATATCCGCACTCTTACAAGACTCATTGAAGTATCGCGAGAGAACAAAATGCCGTTATGTCTTACGTTCATCGATTTGAAGAAAGCCTTTGACACCGTTGAGATAGAAGCGGTAATTGAAGCCCTGGGCAACCAGGGTGTTCTTACTTAATATATAAGGATGCTTCATGAGCTTTACGACAACTTCACGGCCAGGATTTCATTATTCTACAAGGAAGTCATCATCAATGTGAAGAGATGTGCCTGGCAGGGCGATACTATCTCTATTTCGCCCAGAATTTTCAGTGCCGCTCTCGAGAATATCATGCGTCATTTGGATTGGGAAGACTTGAGAGTGAAGGTCGACGGCCGCCACCTACATCACCTCCGCTCTGAAGACGACTTCATGCTCATAACACCGAACATCGAACATCGAGCAGGCGGAACGAATGCTGGCCGAGTTCGACAATGCTTGTGGAAAGATCGGCTCGAGACTGAACCTAACGAAGACGATGTTCATGAAAAACGTACTGGTACCTGATGCTCCCCTCAAGCTATACGGAACGAATATATCCGAATGCTCTAGCTGTGTGTACATATCACCGCGTCGATGAAGAACTGTCTGGTCCGGAGTTCTGATGGGATCAAAGCAGCACATCTTCAGAGCTTGATCTGAAGGCCGCTTTTTACATCACCTCCGCTTTGCATACAACATCATGCTTATAACACCGAACAAGGCAGGACGAATGAAACCCGGCCGAATTTGGCAGGGCTTGCGGAAGGATCGAAATCAAGACCGAAATCAATTGAGACGATGCCAATGAGAAGCGGATGGTACCTGATGCACCCTTCATGCTAAATGGAACGAATATATATTCGAATGCCCTAGTCACGTGTATCTAGTTCGAGAAGTCAACAAGATGAACGATCTAGCTCCAAAGCTTGAGCAAAATGAAACGCGCCGCGTGGAGCTTCCAAGAATATCCACGGAGCAGCGGTGAAGACAGAGCATCCGGTTCTGTGCTCACCTTATCATTCCACCCTGTCATTCCTGCTTTGACGTAGGCCTCAGAGAGTTATTTTACGAAGGAGGATAAGCATGCCGTCAGCGTTACTCAGTGCACTTTGGAAAGGACGATGCTCGGATTTTTCTATACATGCAAGTGCACGAGGGAATCCGGATGTTCGAGCTCCGTCAACGAACGAAGATCAGAGATGCCGTTAATTACGCCAAGAAATGGAAGATTGGGGGGCCGAACACGCTATGCGATATAGTGATGACCGTTGGACCAGGGCGGTTACTGACTGGATCCCTCGGGATATCAAACGAACTCCAAGACGGCCGCCAACGAGATGGTCAGACTTCTTGAAAGCTCTGAACGAAAGAAAGGCTGAACCTTGTGTCCCTGGAGCGAGGACGATACACTGGCTCGTGACAGGGATGATGGAGACGTTACTTGCCCCCGCTCGAAAAAGTCGACGATCAACGGAACGACATGTGATACAGATGATGTTAAGCCTTACCTAAAATAACCTCGGAACTCCATCTAAAGAATCGCTCGTGAAATATGAAAAGCAGATTTGAAGTCAGCATCCAAAAAACACGTCTAGCAATGTAGGTCTCAATCCAAACGGCTACTTCGACTCGGGATCCTTTCAAAAGATAATATGGTAAGTCGGATAGCGATTGAAGGCATATGAAAGGGTTTCGATAGTGCCTAAAAATGGATGTTTCTCAAGAATTGATCGAGAATGACTGCTGCGTTTTCTCGAAAAACGTGCAAGGAAGGCTCGTTTTGACCTCGAGACAATCACCAGTAACATTGCAATCAGTACGAAAATGTGCAACATTATTACGCTGTATAACTTGTAACTGGCACGTTATTTTGAGAGCTGCCCGGATTCTCCCATGGCCTAAAAATTTCATCACTCACGCATCTTTGGCATATTTTTAGATTTTCAGGATACTTTATGATTGGAAAGACTCAATGGGGACAACCTTATTCCCCTATTTTTTAAACATTTCGAACAGTCTTTCGAGAGCTTCCGAAAACCAACCTGAACCTCAGTTGATCGCAAAGAAGAAGCGTGTATAAGCCTTGTGTGAGGTTAAGGGAGAAAATAAGGATGACAAATGACATTAGCAAACAACTAGTTTGATTTGCGACTGGTGAAGTGGATACCAGGAAGAACGGCAATTTTTCCTGTGAAGCAGTATGCACGCAAAATAGGACCTGTAAACCAATAAAATGTACAATTAAATAGTCATCAGCAAGGTATCAACAATCTCGTATGAAAACTCACAAAAACAACGGAAAGTATGGCAGGAATGGGAAACCACCACATAACATGTGGAGAACCAAAATATTCGTCTGAGAAAGGAGGGGATCCTCTTCGAAGTAGCACCATTCCATAGTCAGGGGTATAGTCGATTCCCAAGTACTCTCGTAGGCTGCGCGCAGTATTCATAGATAAAAGCCTAAATGAAGTTCTCTCTCCTACTCTGGAATCTCTATGCAAACTCAACCACAATTAGCAACTTATTCTTACAGAGTGACAGCTCTCGCAGGTGTACGACTATAACGGGACTGAAATTCAATGATAGTTGTTTCCTAGTGCCTTTCTTTATCCCGACCCACTAATTTGAAACTACATGCTGCATGGTTACCTATTTTTAGCGAAACGAACGGTACCGTGCAGAAGATGTTTTCATTAGACTCTGCTGTGTCTTGTAACCAAGTGGCATGATCAGATACCAATTATATCAGAAAGCCTCATTTTTATAAACGGCTAGAAAAAGCACTCGGGAGCTCGGCAACGCATTTCTTGATATATTATCCTTGAGAAGTGCATTGTGGTTGCAATCTATCAAACCTATGGGCCGACTGTATTAATGAATATTACTGATCAATTTCTTTTTACGCGGAACATCATCCACAGAAGAATAAAGTGAATTAAATTGGTAGAGTTAACCTAACCGCGTGGCTATTATATGGTGTATCGGGACTCGATAAGGACCGCACGACACCGGCAAGAGTTCTTACATGATTTTCTGAGCGGTTCTCAAGCTGGGTGTTTCCCTTTTTCTCGATTACTCCTCTTTCTGTTTTTTTTCGCCTCGAATTAATGAACTCCGGTAATTGAGCTTGTAATATGAGTAGTCCTACTATTTTACGTTCTCAGAAATCTTCTAACAAGGTAGAAGTTGACGTGTCATACACTGAGGTGGAATGGTTCGTTTATAGAACCAAACACTTATATACTCTCTCGTTGTCTATCATCCCGATCCCACTGGCCCTTCTTACCTCCTCTTTTCTATACGTCCTCTCTCACACTCTCTTACATCTCCTCTAGTAACCTTACGGTCACTCAACACGAAAGGTCAGCTCGCCTGTAAGCCGGCTAAACCAAAGAGCAGTTAACCTAATTATTTTTAACCGATCAAAATCCAAAGTTGTCACGTCGAGTGCGTGGCCACTGCATTCCCCACTCTTTCGCTCTCCACGGAGGCGGATGTCTCTTTTGATTCCGCTCTCTCCGAACGGCGGCTGCGGTTCCACTGATTCAAACGTCTGCATCGGGCTTCTGCCACGAATCCTACTTCGGTTACTCCTGCTCCGGTGGTTGGACATGTCCTGCGTCAGCTTCCGGATGGGCGCCCACCAAAATCTGCTCCGCTGCGGGCAGCGTCGCATTGCTCTTTGCCTCGAGGGCGTCGGCTGCGGCACCACACAGGGTAACATAGCCGGCCACCCAGTCACCGGCAGTGCCGATATCGCTGCAGTCCTGTCGGCTGGGGTGCCAGAGCAGAATTACCGGTCGCTCTCGGAGCTTGTTTTACTATTCCTTGTATCTCTGGTTCTGTCGGCACTGCAAACATCACTGAGGGTCTGTACCCCTCGCAACTTCTTTTGTAGGTCGTCCATGGTACCGCTTGCTTTTTTTCTCTTCTCTGTTTTGTTCTCCACTATCACCACATATCCTTCACCTGATCATGGCATTCCTTATCCTTACGCTATGGTGCGACTCATAGGTGCTCGAGCCTAAGAGGTTCTTCACCACTCCGGGTGTCCATCGGTCTCCTACCGCGGTATAGTTCCTAATAAATATTTTCTGCCCATTCTTAAGGGTGTCCTCCTTTTTCCCTCTATCATAATTTCTCCTCATCTCTTCTCTATATTCGTTGGTATGTTCCACATTCCTCCCCCCTTTATAACATCTTTTATAAAATTTAGTGTCGTCCTCAAACTTCTATCTTTCGAGCCGATTCCGCATTTAAGCGGGCGACTTCCCCGTTGCCACATGTGAGTAACCCTATTCTCAAAGGAAAGATACACCACTGCGTTTTCCAACGTCTTCCCGAGCCACGAACCGAATTGAGAAGCCGACGTTTTCTTGTCACACTTATTTAGTTTCTTAGTTTTTCGTTTTACTAACAGCATTCATCAGCTTGTGTGTTTGTTCAATGTAGTGCAGTGAGTAGCATTCCCCTTTCCTGCTGAAAACAGGAATATTTCCAGTATAATTCCAAGTCAAACCTTCAAGGTTCGCATTCGGTGATGCATTCTGCATCGACTGGTGTTTTGCGCGCTTGTACTTCTCTTCGCTAGGCAGACGTCCCCACTTCTACTTTACTTGTGTTGTTTAAAATGGTGCAAGTCAACAGGTATTGAAACATCATATCTGGACCTGGGTCTTACGCCCTGGGTTCGTGTTTAGATCAAAGAGGCAACTACTTTGGCCCGCCCGGGAACGACTACGGTCGGTTGCGTTGCCCAGGTTGTCTGTGCACCTTGTTCTAAATATATATTGTTCAACTATGTAGTGATTGGTGCAGTCAATGCTCCAATCATATTGTGGGTATATGGCCGCCCCTTGCCATTCTGATAATGGTTTGGCTTTGCATCCTCACATTTTGCTTTTTTTTCTCTTTGTCCATTTCGGCTAGCTAGGGGAATGTACCACTGCCTTCTTTGACTGTGGCATGCTGAAGCTTGTGCTCGTGAATTTTTGTGTTTCGTTTCTGTGTTTTGCTTCGCTTTGTTTGAGATTACTAATACATTTGCCTGAGTGCTTTGGTGCACCATGAGTGCAGTAGATAAATAAATAAATAAATAAATAAACCGCAGTTTTATATAGGGAATTTTCGAGCATTTTTACAAAGCGGTCCGTCTCTCCATTTATTCTAGGATGGTATGCTGGTGTGAATATGCTGGACCTCTCTTTCCTCACAGTATTCACGAAACTCGGTCGATGTAAAGGGGGATCCGTTATGTAAAACCAAGCGCTCGGGTGATACATTTCTTCCAAATTTTTTTAACTTCAACATCATTTTCTTCGGCAGTGGCGATCTTTATATTGACCGTTTTCGGCCACTTTGACATGGGATCCACCACTGTTAGCCATTTCACTCCCCTCGCTGGTCTCACAAAAAATTACGTGGAGCATCTGCCACATTTTTTCCAGCTCTCCCCATGGATGTGAAGGTATTCGTACTGGATCTTTATATATTACCGCAGATGTGGTTACTAGCCACCTCGATTACCGGTACATACATGCGTTAGAATCATATTTTGGTCCACGCCAAGCTAATCATTCTACTCCCACCATCATTTCTGTTGTGCAACATTTTCAGCCCTACATGCTGCAACGTTTTAGGAATAATCACTCTATATCCACACAATACATATAAATTCGATGTGAATGTACAAGGCTGCCTCCTCCACATGATATATCTTTCTGGTCAACCCTTCTACACATAGTCAACCGCTGTTTGTAGCAGAGCGTCTTCTCGGGTAGCTTTGGATATCTCAGACACTGTTACAGGCAGGCTTTCCACAACCTCTTCTGCCATTTGTTAGATATGTAGCTCATTTACTTCCAACTGCAAACTGGGCAACTTTTTCGGATCGGGCAGCTGCGATAATTCGTTCGCGTTACGATACTCGGCCGTCTTCCTGTACTTAATTTCAAAAAATATAACATGAGCCTCAACGCTCATCAATGCAGCCTTTTTGCTGCTATCACCGGCAGTCCGACTTTGGGACCAAAGGTCCTTACTGAGGGCCGGTGATACGTCATTAACGTAAACCGACGACAGTAAAGGAACTGCTTGATTTTTCAATCGCTTATTATATTCTCTATTCCTTTCTTATTTGAACGTATTTCGTTTCTGTTCCGTCAAAGAGCGCGATGCATACGCGATCACTTTCTCACTTTTGTCTTCGTATCTATGGTATGAGACGGCACCAATACCATATTCTGAGGCACGGTAATACTACCGGAATACAGGATCATAATGCTCCTATGTTTCCACTGCTGTGAGGTTTTCACGCATTCCACTGAAGGCTATTTTTCCTCTGCACCCAGCTTCCGAAGGGTGTCCTTTCCTCCGCAGGCTAGTCAATGGTTTACTCTTGCCTTCAGCTTTGAAGATTGTCTATTTCTCATTTCATCGATAATATTACATAAAAAATTCCACTTCCTCTTGAACAAATCAAATTTCTCTCTTTCGAGGCGGAAACCAGCTTCGCTCGACATACTCAAGACTTTTTCTAGCCTTTTCACATGTGTCACATCATCTGGACCTGTCACCGTAATATCGTTCAGGTGAATTAGCACCTCTTTGTGCCTGCCGTGGTCTCTCCGCTGGAGCGTTGCTGGTGCTGACGCGATTCCAAACGGGTCTGCGTGTACTGTGCTCTGTGCTTGTCACTTACGCGCAATGGTTGTCGTATACTCCCTCATACTTTTCTCCCGCTCTACACATACCATCTGACAAAACAAGCTTCAGACTTGCTAAACTCTTTTGTCATTCTCGTCACCATAATAATAAGTCAACTGGTTTGGGCAGCGGGCACTAGTTGCTGTCTATAATAGTTGCGGCTTTACTGTGACCTTTCCATTTCCAGACATTCTTATTTTCAGCTTTTCTAGGTACTATGACTAACGGCGTGCCTATTCACTACGTTTTACTCTACTTATGGATCCATTTCGCGCAATTTCTTATCCCTAGTCTCCACTTCGGTCCCCAGCGAAACAGAAACTTTTCCTGAACAATTCGGGCTCTATTTCTTTACTCTTGAAGTTGAGCTCAGTTGCAATTATGCACTTGCCCAAACCATTTTGCAACAACTTCCTATTAATAGATTGACGCATAATTATTGTAGATTTCTCAGCGGCTTTTTTTCTCTCGGTACAGTTGAATATTGAATTCGGGTTTTTAATAGGAACAATCTTCTCGTTTCCTTCTACAGAAATGAGTCTCACCATTTCAACTTTCTGGCGATGAAACAGTCAGCCAAAGCCTAGTGAGCAGGATTTGCTCCTAAATCTTCTGTATTCACAGACAGAAGCTCTTATGAATCACCAAGGCGGCCTTTCGTCGAAAAATTGTCTAGCGAACAAAACCTACGGCGAAATGGATGACTTGATGGCTTATCTCAAGCCGTGGATCGCCTTCAAGAACCGAAACGTCTCTGCCTTGGGAATTCGACTGTCTAGCAAATGGGAAGCAGTACTTGACGTGGATGGTGGATTCGTTCTGGAGTAATTATATGAACACGCCTTTGTTCGAAATTTTTATCGTTTTAAAATCAAATTTGTTGAAAAAAAATCAGGCAATTGTAATGCATCAGCCTAATATAAAGTGAATGCGAACCAGTTATTCTTTAATTTCTACTTTGGACATTCCTATAACGCGCTGCACCCTCTCGTATGGTAGTCCACAATCAATCTGCAATCTCCTTATCATGTCTCTCCTAAACAAATAGACTTGCTTTCTTGCAGACATAGACATCTACCATCTTTTCCTTCCCGGCAAACTAAAGGTGTAATGGAGCCCTGCTCTAGGCTGTAATACGGTAATTATCAAATGCCGTTGGTGCTATCACCGCTTCCTCTTACTGCGGTCGGCATAGCATCCTCCAATTCTTCTCATCGATGAGAGATAGTATTGCGTCTGTATCCGGCTCGAATGCAATCTTCCATCCATTTTGACATCTAGCACTCGTGACGGCTCATCCGCCAATCGGTCAGTTTCATCTCGAACGGTAGCCATTGTTGCCTTGTCAGTGTTTTGCTCATTCTAGTGGTCGCGTCTCCAACCATTTGGATACTACATCTATTATAAGTAGTGCAGTTGCTCTCCGGCGTGCCGTAAATTCCAGCACAAGTACTGCTCAACTGTTCATTTAGCCGATTCGCCGCTACTTCTCCTGTACCAAATCCACACACACGATCCGTGCTCTCAGCTCTACGACAGTGGGTTGGGCGTGATTTAAGAACTATATTCACGCTTCAACATACCAACTGTTTGACACCGTCAGAGCTTTCGGTGGACCTCTCACGCCAGTGATCTTGGCGGGAAGATTAGTAGCCTACCCTAGCATTCTTCTAACATGTCGCTGCTACATGGCGCTTTTTTCCAGCATACTCTGCAGTATGCGGATTTCTGAAACATCCGTAACCGGCATGCCATAGCGCTCCATGGATACTGCACTTACACCCTTCTGAGCTGAACCTTCGCTCGGTTTCTTCTTCCGTTTCCTAGGCCATTCCTGTTGCTTGGGGGTCCTCCTTCAAATACGGAGCATTTTTTTTCGACGTGTTTGAATGCCTTAGACTGTTCCAATGACTACTACGATGTCGGGTCTTCTCTCTCCAGCGAAGCATCCTCGTCTCCACCGAGAACAACCCTCCAATGAAAACCATCACTATCATCGTAACCCGGTGGTTTTTCAAATATTCCAAGGTGCATGTACTCGCTGCCTTTTAGAGCTCAGCACATTACTCAGTCCTGGCTTCCAAACCTTACAATTAGACATAAGGTCAAAACGCTCGGCTAATACCAGCTTCTCCGGCCGGTTGTGGCGTTTCATGGCCTGCCGCAGATCCTTCAATTCTGCCTCCTCTAACTCTCGTCCCTAAAGGAGCAGTTCGTTCGACTCAAAGTTTGTGTTACCCACCTCCTGCAGGAAGATCAGCCTCCTGCCCCTTTCCTTGATCACATTCTTCAGCCGAAAAAGTTAATAAATAACTCCTACCAGGTTCTCGTGAGGTCGAACCCCGTCTTTAAGACGTTCTCGGGACATAAAGTGCCAGAGTCGACTCCGGTATATTTTTACAACCATGTTCTACTGTCATGGGTCTCACGACCAGCAGATGTATAACGAAATAATTGAAGGACTTCCTGATTCACAGAGTGCGCACTAAAATCTACTTTCGCATTTCTGCTATACGCCGCGTAGCTGCAGCTGTGGCGAGCTCGACGCAGAATCCGTGGAGGAAATACCGGAAATCAGGCGAACACACAGGGAGTAGAATGATTCATTCCTAGAATCAAGCTCCTATATACTCTCATTGTATATCATTGCTACCCCGTTAATCCGTCTTCGTTCCTAACTCCTACACGTCCTCTTCCATACTCCATCACAGTACAAAAATAAGCACCATCGGTTTAGAAAGTGAGCACGCCTCGACAAGTGAAACTTCACCTACAGTTTTAGTGAAAGGGATAACTGTACTCAGAAAAAGCACGGGAGTGTCAATGAATGCTCTGGATTTCTGTGGCATTTGGAACTCTGAGAAATGCTAACACCTGAAGCAACCTCACCTAACTCTCAGCCTGATTTTTTAGTCTGCTCCCCGAAGGTTTGGCTCATTAATGATAGCCGGGAATGAGAGGACACGAATATTCTTGAAACCATATTGTAGGTTGTAGGTTACACTAAAGGGCTCTCTCGATCTCGGCTCCATGAATTTCAATAGGAAGAGAAGCATCCAGCACTGCATTCATTCGCGAACTTCAATCCACATATTTAGTTCAGTGCAAAACAATCAATAGAAGCGTCCTTGGAAACACGAGTTCTATGCACTCGTTTGACAGAGCATAGAGAGGCTGTACTCACCAACATCCTTATGCGTGCACCTTTTCCGAGCACCTTTCCATCTTTGCCCCGAGCATGACAGTGAGAACCGCCACCTCTTCAACGCAAGGGAAATCAGTGTGCTACCCTGTGCGACACCTCGGGTACACACAATTATACAGTGTTTTAACGCATGCTACTTTTGGAAAGAAATAGGGATAGTGCTTTGGTCCCTACGTAAACTCACACAAGTCGCTTGGTAGCATCGGTTCTGTGTATCAACCAATGTAACTAATTCAACTGCAAATGACCGTGTGAAGACAATAACACTAGAAAACAAGAATTCCAAAAGAAGTGAACAAGTCAATAGTAAGTCAAACAAATAGAATCGAGATACATATACAGATTGCAACATCATGTGCTTTGAAGAAAGTCCTAGTAACTTCAGTCATGTGAGAGTTTACATTGCCGCTTCTCATTCGAAGCTGTGGTCAGGTAGTAATCGATTAACTTTAGGGATGGCAGCCCCCTTGCTCAGGTCCAATTATCCATTCGCTCGAGGTCGCGGTTGAGTTCGCTCTCACGCGTTAAGTTCCACACAGGAAGCCCCGGTACATTACATCTAAAATACTGCGCCACAAAGAGTCGCTCAGGAAAATATCTGCCCAACAAAAGAGAGGCAAACTGTGGCCCTGCCACATGCATTCATTTTTACCATCAGACGTCGGCTTACATGATATATATATAAAACTTCAAAAGTAAGGTTGGCAAGAAAGTCCTGCGACAAAAAATTGAAGCGTTAACTATTTGTATCAACAGTGTGAACACGGTAACAAGGGTAATAAACTAGTAGGACATTCCCCGGGTAATCAACACATAAGTAAAAAAGGGCACGCGTGTGGGCTTTCGCAGCATTACGATCGATAAATGGACAACACCCAATTCGTACCATCACCTTCTACTAAGCATGTCAAGGGAAAAAAGCGGGTGTAGCGGCTCAGATTATCAGCAACCTATTCGATGCTGCCACTGCTCAATGATCAACGGTCAACAATCGGTTGGATCGCTCCACTGGAGAAGATACTGGCATTCAAAGTAACACAAGCATTGTCCATTAATTTAATGGGGGTTGAAGAGATTCATCCGCTATGAATTGCTTAACGCAGACTAGATGGACACAGCTATGGCACACCCTTATGAAACCCGAAATTTTGACAACGGGGTTAGAGAGGGACGATCAAAACCGTAAGTCAGGTCCCTACAGAGGGCCAACGCACGCCGGAACTTCGTTTTCAACACACGTCAAAAGGTCAATGAATCTGCTTGGTTCCTGGTTGTTCATCAGTCGTACAGTCTAAGTGTTGCTCCTTCGAACTAACATGTGCTCCGCCTTCATAAGCATACCGTTTTGAAAAAGGAACTCGTGATTAAGGTGATCTGGAACCGGCAGTCAATGATTACTTCGAGTCACAGCTTCCTAACTAATGGACGAAAGGCATCACTGATTTACTCAAAGGATAATAGAATGCTGTTAGCCACTTTGACAAATATATTTCCGAAAAATGAATGGTCTGGAAAATTTTAGAAATGACTTGGAAAAGACCATCATTTTGTTGCAGGGCTTTCTTGTCAACCTAATATATATAATATAATATAAGTTATATATATATAAACCATTACCAGTATATATACTCTTTACTTATACAAAAGTACAACTCCGCCCATCTCTATCCTTCAAGTCATCGTCACCCATTACCATCAGCATGCTATTATTCCAAATCCATCTTCAGCTGATCTCTTTCTCCCGGCAACTCACAGAAGATAAAAAAAAAGGTAAAACCTTCTCTATATAATTTAACGTAATCTACTTTAGGATGAACCCCAACTACCCACAGCAACATCGAAACATCTTATACGTACCATGGCGGACACTGTTCGAGCACATCTATTATTAACTCGAACGACTGCATGACATGCTACACTCGGTTATCCACGTCAACACGAGCTCGACCAAAAATGCACACAAATCGAATTTCCTGTCTACGCTTCAAAACTGCTGGCTGGAAGGAGACAGAAGGAAGAAGAACGCAACAAAAGAGAAGAAAATGAGTCTTATTATCAAAACTGAAAGAGGACTATGAATAAGTTCAAATAAACGTGAAGATTGAGCGAATGTACTACACAGATAAGCAAACAAAAAAACAAGGGAAAAAATAAAAATCACAAAAAAGAAACCATCCAACTTGAAAAGGTATCATGAGAAGATCATGAACACTGGAACAGAAAGAAAAGAATAAGAATAAAAACAACAGCTGAATCAGCGCCTCAAGAACACTAGGCGCAAGACGCTAGATAGCACATATCGACGAGAGACACAGGAATGTGAAAAGCAACGAGCCCAATGTGGCTCACGTTTGCTAAACTCAACATTGACCACATTTTTTTACATATGCATAAGCATTTACGCATTCCGGCCATGCCCACAACAATGACAGACATCCCAATTGGGTTAAAAAATCAGGCGTATAGAGTTTAAAAAGCAAATCAGGATGAAACTCATTTAGTAATGATCCAGTTTTCGTGAAACATAATTACTCCTCACCATTTGCTCATGACTTATCTTCCTCGACTCCCGATATCCTTAACTACTTCCTTACCACAACTTCATTATATTCCAGATATGGAGGATGACCCATTCCAATTCTTTGAAGTTCCATTCAATGACATCAACGAAGATAATCATAACGGTCTAATAGAACAAGAGAACGACTCCGAGGACACATTGAATATACAAAGCAATGAGGGCAACGACGTTGGAACAAGGAATGGAACGACACATCAACATCGCGGACAATCTTCAAAACCTTTCGACAACTGTCTCACAAATAACAAAAAAGACAGTAACGGATCAGGTTACTAATTTCTTTTGTATTTTGAAATATAGCCTCGGGATAGTCAGATACCTACCTGTATATATATATATTATTTTCAATAATTTAAGAAGCGAATTCACGAGGAAATATGTAACAGAGAACCCCAAGTCAAAAGGACCAAAAACTCGGTGAACAAGATACCTCTCATTCACATCACTCAACAAGAAAATACATAATAACTTGATTCAAGAACTGATGCGAGACGTACAACATCATGTTACTCAACTGGGTGTGCTACCCATCAACACATCAACACTATTTGCAACTCGGATCAAGAACAGCACAATCAACAAGACCGTCTGCAGGAATGTCATTTCAAGCCTTGCCGAAATACCGTACCAACAAGTTCTAAAATATCTAACTCATGCGCATTCTGTAATGGGAATCACTGAACCTCCGAATGCCCCACCTATTCGACACTTTCTGAAAGACGCCAGCAATACTGCAAGAGGAAAGAATAAGGGTGTTTCCTCAAAACTGCAAACCACCTCGCTATGTTCTGTGTGATAGACATTCAGTGCTTTTACTGCAGACGAAACGGCAGAGAACAACTTATCACATGCCATGACTCTGCATTTTATCCTTATCGATTTCCAATGTGAGCTCTTGTGGTAACAAAATTTCAATTGTGAAACAATGTGAATTATTACGCTCAATAAAGACATCGGAACCGATCGTCTTTTTTCCTCATTGTTACTAAAAACGAAAAAATTTTCACTGTACCACCATACAACCCAATGGGCAAAGACAATTCCAGAAAATGATTCACCTATACCAATTTAGATCACTTTCAAAATTTGACAACATCAATTATAACAATCACCGGTACTCCACCTCGAATGAATAATTAAGCAATCAAAAACAAAATCAACCTACCAAAAAACGAAGCCACGCCCCTCAATCAGAGTTTATAAGAGGACTTCTCCTCTCCAGTTATCAGTCAGTCCGTCTGCACCGTTCGGTACTCACCTCGTAACTCCAATGCCTGCGCCTTTCAACATCACTACCACAAAACAAAAATTAACCAGACTCTTTTTACTTTGGAAGACTCAGCGATGAAAACCAATTCAGTCCTACATGGGCTTTTCCGACAGAGAGATTAGAACCGACGATCTTTCTTTCAACAAATGAACTCGAAGTAACAACACTGAAGAAACAAATAGAGGTCAAATAGATAAAGTATGGAACTTCTACGAACCGAGCATTCGAGCCATCACAACGTCAAAGGAAGATAACTCCAATCTTTCAGTACGTATTGAGAAAAGAAACAATGAGGAAAAACATTAACCATCGCAACAGCATTAGCCCATCAACTTCAGAAACGCATAACAGAGTTAGAACGCCAAGAACTGGCAACCGCTCATTCACACAATAATCTTACCAATCAGTTCAACCACAACCACCCGCAAACCTTTGCCATTTCAGCTACTCCAACAATTGACCAAAAACTGTTGAATAATAAAATAAAGGCACCCGAGTTCCATGGCAATCCAGCAGAGTTTGGTCCATTTTGGGAATTATTTGAGGAATTCGTTCATAAACAACCCTACTCAAACATAGCTCAACTTTCGATATTGCTTAGCTGCTGCAAGATTGGTGCAGCGAAGTTCTTACAAATGATCCCTCGCACCGGAAGCTCTTACGAAAAAAGCTATGCAACAACTCAAACAACAGTACGAAGGTCCAAAAAGAACCACTATTCAAAAGATCCGTCAATTCAAAAGCAATGAAATCTTGTTCAAATAAACCACGAGCATCACGCAATAATTCAGTGACATCCAAGCTATCATCACCACCATACAAAGACAAGGAGAAGTGGTAGACTCCATATATATGACAACTATGGTCATTGAAACATTCGCCATGTGCGTTCAAGGGGAAATCGCCCATAAGAAATTTGACAATGAGCGTCCATGGACTAATCTTCGGAATCTCTTATCATAAGTCTAACAACAACGAGCACATCCACCAATCTCCTGCATCGGTTGCGGACAGAATCACAGGTTTGAAAAGTGTAACATATACCGAACACCTCAACAAAAGGTCCACTATCTCAAAAACATACGAGCATGCTGGAAGTGTTTCAGCATGCACCACAAGTCACGAGTCTGCAACAACCAAACTGTACTGATTGCAATGGACATCACAACAATATTTTGTGCTTTCGAAGTTCTCAAACGAACCATTCACTTACACCGTGGATGCGAATCGCAGAAACCCTTCACCTAAACAAGCTACATTCTTCAGACAACAATCGCCCGATAGCAGCAAGTTACGACGATCAACTCCTTTTTTTACCATGAATCAACACAATTTTCTGATAAGCAACAGGCAAATCATTATCCTACAAACAGACGACGACGCTTGCGGGATATCAATACACCAGAACAACCCCACCTTCCATCACACATTTACCCTAGGAACAACACTCTTACAAGAAAAGAAACAACTTTAATGTCTCGGAACAAGGTCAAATTTGCTTCCCTACCCCCGCCACACATTAAGACAAACATCTATTTCCAGTATCAGGCGATTCAGATATCAGATAGATTTTGAGGACTGTTTTAAGTATTGCCTAGCCCTACGTGAGGACCAATCTCAAATCATTTTTCGGCTTGCAGGCTCTGAAGAAGGCGAAGAGGCCGAAACGTAAGCTGGATAAATTTGTGAATCTCGGAAAGGCTTTAAAACATTTCAAGAGACAAGTTCAGCTATGCCGAGATTAAGAGAAAGTCGAACATCCGTGCTAACATCATCCCGAATTTCATCAAGAACAAACGACTGCACGAGATATGCGGACGACCGAAGGACTCTCGACACGTAAGAACAATCGAGCAACTTCTCAAAATGGCAATCCGATCAAAGCGTGATATTATGTATTCATGTTTGAACATGTGCATTGTTAAAGAGAAATGTTGCGAACGGATCGTGCCGGAGCGCCTTTGGACGAGACTAGTAGGTAAGTCGAAAAACATTTGTGATTTGATCCGAGCTAAGGCAAAGGCAAGACTAAAAAACAAGTTCGATAGGTTAGTAGATCAACAACGGGCTCGTGACATGCAGGCAGTGTCTAACGTTCATCAAAACGACGAGGCCCACCTAACTTCTAGTACAGTAGAGCACCTATCCAATTGTCGGGTAACGGTTCTGGGCAACATCACTCTTTCCAAAAAAACGTTGTTACTGTTGGAATTGGGTCCTAGCTTTGCACCAGCTCAATCCATCCATCCTCAGGTCGTGCGCAAGGTCGTGGGTAAGTTACAGATTCTTCAGGACCGCCTCAGATGCAGGGCCAACAGCATAGTGCGGGAGGGAGGCGCGGGAGATCAGGTAGATAAGCTGTTCCCTGTTCTACCCTTTCCTTGCACCTTTTACAGACCCCAAGAACCACATGCTGTTGTAGACACTAGATTCCGCTTTCTCGCTGAATCTGTTTACAGGGTGGTACGGCAGTACGTGAACAAACGTACTGCGTTCAACCTAACCCCCTCACAGAGGCAGGGCTTCAAAGAATTACGTAATCGATTAGAAGCTGGGAAGATTCGTTTGTCTGTGAGCGACAAAGGAGGGGAATTCGTGGTTATCCCGCAAGAGCTTGATAAGGCTATAACNAAACAGATTAGGGGTTTGGCTATGGGCCAACGGCTAGCACCAGTATTGGCAATAGCCTACATGTCAAGAGTTGAGGAACCTATCCTAGACCGCAGGCCAGTTCTCTACAGTCGCTATATTGATGACTGCCTGATCATATGTTCCACTCAAGAAGAGATGGACATATGTTTTGAAATTCTCAATAAGCAGGCAGATCATATAAATTCACACGAGATAGACCAACAGAGAACTGGCTACCATTCCTCAATATCCAAGTCCAACTATCGAGGGGGACAGTACGGACCAAGTGGTACCGCAAGCCTAGCTGTAAGAATATCCTCATTCACTGCCACTCGGCCCACCCCGTGAGAACAAAACAGTCTGTCATCAGAAATATGTTCAGAGTTGCCAGCAGGGTTTCTTCTGATACTGATCTTATGACAGAATCGTTGGACTTGGCCCGAAAAGTCGCGCGGTCTAATGGGTATCCTGACTTCCACCAAGATTTACAACGTGGGGGACATTCCACGCATCACAGACTCCGCCCACAAGCATCTGTCAATAAAGCAGTCCTTTGCTTGCCACTCATCTCCGAAGAAATGAGCAGAGCAATGCGAGCCTGTGTGACCAGGTGCGATCTACAAGAAGTCAGGGTTGTGGAAATACCCCAGGAAACCTAAGCCGCAATTTGATCCGAAATCGTCTTTACGACAGCTTGTGTGACACCCCAAACTGCATTGTGTGTCCTTTCAATCGAAGGGGTGACTGCATGAAAGCTGGGGTCATTTACCAAATTCGAAGCCAGGCCTGCGATGCTGAGTATATAGGTGAAACAGGGCGCCCCCTTCGTACGCAAATCAGGGAACATGTGGAGGGCCTAAGAAGATCTCTCATACGAACACCACTGGGAATGCATCGAATTGAGTGCCATGATGGCAGCGAGTTCGAAATTTCAGTGGCCAGCTTGGCAATAGAAGCGGACGCCCCTGCGCGGAAAACACTGGAGGCGGTTGGATTGCTGCTAGGAATCCACAAATCAATAGAAAAGAAGAGTGTGTGGCCATTACCCATGACCTCGCGCCCTTCCTCGACCTCTGCAAATTTTAAGCTGCGGTGAGGTCAGGGAGGAGATGGGTTGCTTATTGTACGCAGAAGTTCCGTTCTTGTGCGGTCGTCCTAGTGGTTGTCCTCTGAGTACAAAGTAAGCCATGTGACACTCTTGTATTGATCGAGTCCAGGGGTCTACTAGTTTAGAGGACTGTTTTAAGTATCGCCTAGGCCTACGTGAGGACCAATCTCAAATCGTTTTTCGGCTTTCAGGCTCTGAAGAAGGCGAAGAGGCCGAAACGTAAGCTGGATAAATTTGTGAATCTCGGAAAGGCTTCAAAACATCTCAAGAGACAAGATTCAGATATCATCAACGATAATACTGTAAGCATGAATACCCGCTCAATGGTCATACAAGTCTATGCTAAAAATGAACTCAACAACAAAACGCCCACGCCATACCAGATTCGGCATTCGGCATTTCGGATCAATCGTTCATCTCTTCTTTCTTAGCAAACCGACTACAACTAGACCCTGAATACGAACAATCATTAATGTAAACACATTCGGGGGACGTGCTGAAATAAAAAAAGTAAAACACGTCAGAGTCACGTTTCGTGACGACAACGGTCATTCAATTAAAGTATCCTTACCTACCGTTGACACATTAACCCTTGTACTCACACTACCAAAGCTTCCGATGGAAGATTAGCTATTATATTACAGACACACCCTCACTTGGAGAAAGCATTATCTCAGGACTTCTCCATGGATATTATCAATGATATTCTATTAGGGATTGATTACCTCCACAAAATACTAATTACTGATGAATCCATTATTTCATTACTCTCGGGATACTTCATAACGCCGACTATCTTCGGTCCTGTAATATCAGGAACTTCTCACAACCATTACGTTCATCCAATAAAACCATGCCAACATATAAACACCATCGATCTATACAGAACGACAACACACACAGACTACTCTGATCTTTGGAAACTACGTGGTGTAGGCACAGCAGAGCTACAAACTGATGAAGAGCTTAGCAGACAATCAAGTGGCAAAATTCACATTAAATTCCCCTGGAAACCTAACAAATTCTGCCTAGCAAACAAGCATAATCTTGCTCTCAACAGGTTACATGAACATGTTATTATGTATATTACATGTATATTACAGAACACCTTGTAAAGGGTTCATAGAAGATATCCCTTCTAAACCGCAAATTTCCAATCCCACATACTATAAACCCCAACAAGCGCTGATAAAGTCTACCAGTGCAACTACCAAGACCAGAATCGTGCTTGATGCATCATCAAAAATAAAAGGTCAGTTGAGCCTTAATGACGTTACTACCAAGGACCTCTGATCTTACCCGATTCCGTATGATTTATCCACTCGAATCAGAACGTGGCTCCGTTTGATTCTTATGTTTGAAAGACGTAAACATCCCTCCTACACCGATTAATATCCGCATGCTCCACTTGTGTAGGCTGCCATTTGGCATTAACGCCTCATCACTCCTATTGGGTATATCAATACAATATGGACTTGAACAACAAAAACAAGGGGATAAATTCACTATAAAACAATTGATCGAGAATTTATATGTCGGTAATCTTCTGATGTTAAACTCAACGGCGCAGCCCCTTCTCAACACCTACCATATTTGTAAAAGGATTTCCGCTAACATGTCCATGAATCTTCGCCAATTCATAACAAACGATGACAATTGCAATTCCCACATCACTGATGAAGACAAAATAACAATCTCCTCTGTCAAAATTCTAGGTATTCCTTGAGGCTACACCAAAGATACTTTCACGCTCTCACGTGAGTTGGCCAACACGGCAAACCCGACTGAACGTAAAATTGTACACGTCACACATTCTACCTTCGCCCCTCTTGGACTTCTAGCACTTATTCTTCTCCCACCGAAACCTCTCCTTCAGAATCTATGGAAACAAAAACAGAATTGTGACGAGCTACCCTCAAGAATACAGAAGTGTGGCGCAACGTATGCGAATACGCAAGTGGATTCACGGTACACTTCCCTAGAAACATCCTCAGTCATCAAAACGATACCCAAAACTCAATTCAGTTGATGCATCTATCCGCGCATACGCAACAGTAGTATATCTTCGTTCAGTTACTACTTAGGTGCATATTCTAGTACAATACTTATGGCTAGGCAACGTCTAGCCCCAATCGAAAATAACTCCATAACAATAACAACTCATAACTCAACGACAAGAACTTCTCGCACCTTGATAGAAACGCGTCCCATATAATTCATTTTCAGAAAAATGAAATTACAGATATCAACGATTAATATTTGCAGCGATTCTTAAGTAGCCTTTCAATGGATAACAACTAATTCAAACAATGGAATATATAAGCAATCGCTGTAGAAAAATATGAAATTCCCTCCAATCTTGGAAACGAAGCATTAACCAAACTCATCTATATCATATACCATCGGAACAAAACCCCGCAGGCTGCGCTACTAGAGGACTCACAAGAGAACAAATGTCCCATCGAATATGGTGGTCAGGAACAACATTCTTAAGGCAGCAAGACAAAAATAGGGCAGAATTTCAAGAGCCCCACACTCACTCGGACTCACAACACACTGACCGACCCACAGTCTTAGTTATCTCCTCAAACATACCATCTGGATCCTGCCCCTTCATCACAAAATTCTCATCATCGAAAGCTGTGCGACAGGAAGCTGCTCTCATTCTAAAATCTATTCAACATATTCTATACGATAAACTAACGATAGATAGGAGAACAAAGCCATCCTTCCGCCTACCAAGCTAGCTCATATCTCATCAACCCATCCATTAACCTCGCTGCAGGTAAGTGAAATTGAAAGTGCGGAAACGTTACTAACCAAAATTATGCAACGCAACTTGACAAAAGACAATCAGCAAAAATGGAGCCAACTCCGTCTATACAAAGATGAGCAGAACATCATTCGCTAACGAGGAAGAATCCAAGAGAAGACATAATAGAGCCCATCGTCCTTCTACCTAACAAACATCTTACACATCTAAATAATAATTCAAGACAATCAAGTACGTTGTGGACATTAAGGGGTAGGTGGCACACTCGCAAACCTACGCCTTCGTTACTGGCTCTCAAAAGGAAAACAAGCAGTACGAAAGTTGCATGGCTATTCGAGCAATTTAATTGGAAGTCACTGACAACTTGGCCGCTTTAGAGCTTATCAACGTCTTACGAAGATTTATATCTGGGAGAATAACCCCCCCCCNCCCCCCCCCATCATCTCAGACAACGCCATTAACTTCAAAATACAGCGACGCAATTCTTTCCATGGGAGATAAAGACACTGCACGCATCAACACTACCATACAAACCTTCCTGACTAACGAAAAGATTCGATGGAAATTCATCGTCCCGCCTTCACCATGAAAAAGGCGGATTTTATGAGAGATTGAATGGCATGATAAAATTATCCCTTCAACTTGTATTAATAAGAAAACTACATTCCTACATTCTTTACAACAACATCGGAATGTGAAGCAATGGTCGATTCAAAACCTCTGGCATACCCAGGAAGTAAGTTAGAATACTCATTAACGATCCGTCCAATAGATTTCCTGATTCCTAAGGCCAAATTCTCACCATCTCCAGAAATAACCACAATTGATAATGATCACGACCCGGAATACCTCCCTTACGTTCCCACAGAAGTCCAAGCTATACAATACTACCGCACACGGGTAACCTACTTGAAATGTCTACGGCACGAATGGCACAACACTTATCTCCTTAAACAACGCAATTTCCACCGACACAGAATCAAGCAGAAAAGCCTTACTCGTACACACCCGAAAATTGGAGAAGTTGTCCTTGTCATGGATGAAAAACTGACATGCCTAGAATAGCCTTTAGGTATCATAACAGACTTACTCACCGATCAGGACGGAACGGTACGGTCCGTCAAGTCACGAATCCAAAATCAGACATTGAACGATCAGTGAACATGCTCATCCCCTTAGAGTTGGCTGGTGGAAATGAAAGAAAAGTAACTCTACAAGAAAACGACAGCATCACCCTCTAACGACTCAACCAATAACGATATCATTACATCTAACAGCATAGACTCACACAACAACGACGCTTCCAAGAACCAACGAACACGCCCAATGCTCCCTCGTAAAGCTAAACTCAACAAAAATTACAGCACGTATGCCACTACGTCTCAGTCTAACGATCACAAACGCCTTATCGTCATTTCTTTCTTTGGAAGCACTGGCTCACACTTACCATAACAATGATATTATTTCAAGTTACTAATGAAAATGAATTACTCAAACCCTCGACTAAAATGTTTGACAGGAGGATTACACATACAAATGCTGCACCCTACCAAATGCATACAAGTATTCGGTATTAATTACTGCATAGAAATCCTTGACCTTAGCCAGAACATAACAGCTCAATTTCCATCTGAAATTACTTTACACTCATATCATGTTACAACAAAAACAATAACCAATAATAGAACACAAGCAACATACTGGGCATGCCCACCAAGCCCCTTTTGTGAACAAATCTCTTGCAAATGGTTTCCAACCGGGGATGTTGGCCCAGAAACGGAATAGCCACCCCGTCATCCTAATCTGTATCATTACAACAACAGCCTTCGTCAGCAAATAACAATAATACCGTCAACCATATTTCAGCAACCCCCTCAGACACCAACTGTCACAATCAAACGACACTTCACACTCAAATCAATCAAATGCAACCTTTCTTGTTTATTCAACTCGAATATGGTAATCAAAACCTTCATTTTATGCGAATAACGCTCAAATTCTTGATCCTTCAATGTCGGAAGAAAACTTTAGGTACATGTGCGGGACTTAGGTGCGCGATAATCAGCGCCGATACATTAGTCGAAGTCGAAGAATTAGAAGAAGCAAACAACTAAACAGGAATAACATACTGCTCCGAATCTTGTGAAGAAGTGGGTTGCTCTTGCGGCTACCCTTCATCAGGATGCCTGTCTTACAGTATATACCATGTCCCAATCGACGACGATCTCTTTGAGGTCTTCCATTGCCCATCATGGTCATGGTCAGAAACTGTCCTACTCGAACGACAGATAAATAGGGCTAACCAAATATCTCAAAATTTTGAAATCAAACCTAACACCAAAGAACTATCTCAATCTTATCGTTAGAAGTAACAAGCTCTTCCTACTCACCTTTCTCAACCTGAATAAACGATTCATCTTCAATGGACATATTACTGCTTTCTCACGCCTGGAGCATGAATTCAGTTATGCATGCAATTACAGTTCTCAAGGACCACAGAATAAGAGTACTACCCTAGACTGCATACCCGAAGATACCTGCAGATGCAATCCTGTAGAAGATTATTGCACTTGCTGTTGCTCCAATAACAACGTTTCCCGAATCACATAGTTATCGAACACGCTACCCCTACCCATTCCTAGCGGGATCGTGACCATTCAAGGCAAATATAATATCCTATTTTAGGAACAAAGGCAATAGCAGCTGAATTGACACTTTTCCTGAATTCTTCAATAAAGACATATCACAAACTATTCAAGACTTTCGATGTAAAGTTTCCCCTGAGCATCTCCTCGGAGGTTATAATAGAATTACCTTGAAGGGTCTGTGGTCGCGATTTTCTGCAAAGCAGATGTCACTGAAGCAACAGCACAGCCGTATGTGGAACACAACAATTTACCCTAACATGTACAAAAGGTGGCGAGTACAATCACGTTCTTTTTTTAATACCCTAATACGCTAAGGTTGAAGAAATTTGCGGTACACATACATGTGTTCGAATTGAAAGGAACACTCAATTATTTCAATGGCATGAGACCGTTCTGGAATTACATCCAAGTATGGAACAGTAACACAACTAACGAATATTCGGACTTCTCCATCGAACTAGCCTTACCGGATTTCTCTCACTTCCTCCAGTCATGCGAGAGATTTTTCCTATACTCGCTCACTATCCTTATACTCCTCATAACCGCACGATCATTCAGTTGTAATCTGCTTTCTAAATACACCACAAGAACAAGGAAAAATTCCACCATTAATATTCTCGCTACATTATTCCACCCCCCTTGAGAATACTACTACTTATCTATAACTTTCTCAAACTAGCAATATCATTTATCTTCTTCCTACTTCGCCTCCCTATACGGTCAATCGCATCGTCACGACTACTCAAACACTACTGAAACACTAGAATCTCTCATCATCGAACGGCACCACGACACAAACCACATCTCAACCACCACGACGTAGAAACAGCCAAGACAACATCGACTTCATGACCATAGTGGACTCCTGACTGGACAGTAATACATCGCTTACTTATTCACCTTTTTGTATAGCATCAATTTCTGTGTTTCTGCTGTACGAATGTCTTATTTAGTTCTGTGTAGTATATGATTGCAAACGCAACCTTGTTTTCAAAGGTAAAACGATCACCTAATCTAAATGTATCGGGGAGGATGCAACGGCAAAACTTGCGCGTTTCCATGGCTTCTTTGCCGTGCGGAGTCTCATGGCTCTTAGTCATGATTACTAGGAAACCCATGAATACCTTCATTATTCAAATATTACTCCCAGCGAGGCTCCGAAAATGCGGGAACTTCTCATGTTCCCTCAACAAAGTACACAAATGCTGGAAATTTGTAGGTTCCCACACCAAAGAACAAACGCGCGGTCGTTCGGAGTCATATAGGAGTCGCCCATTTTTTCGGGTACGGAAGGCCCAGTTTGTGCCCGTGCGGGCAGTTCTTAACAGTTAGGCGACTCCGCAGTTCAACGGTTTCACAGTCGGGTAGTGCCGCTCGCGGCACTGCTTTCAACTCCAAATTCCTCGTCCTCCGCTCATCAACAATCCAATCACAAGGAGGACAGACAATCGTTTCTTTGACAATGAACAAGAGCGGTGCGGTGCAAGAACTCGAAGGAGAGAAACAGAGCGCAACAACTCGCACAATCACTTAGACTGTTTGAATTTTTGTGACGGTACGAGATTGTTTTCATGACTTGTTAACGCAATAAATATTAAAATAAATATCCTGTCATTCGAGAGTTCTATGTGAGATCGGGTTCAGTGGGGTACAAAGTTTTATATTTTCAGAGCTTTGTTCTCAAGGAAGAAAAGACATTCGAGACATTTGCCTATTCATTCTCATGCTCTCAGCAGTCTTACTAATGCTGAGGTGATTCGGATCCTATCTAGACCACAAAGTTTTGCAATAATCTTAGTGCTTATTTATACACACCACTTGCATACAGAGTGGGATGAGTGAAGGAAAAACTGCCATTACTGGCCTCAAAAGGCTCGGAAAAGGTTCATGAATAATCAGGTTAGTGCGGCACTCACCAGTATCATCGTTGCTGTGGTGGAATCTTGAACATTTTTTAAGACATTGTCGGAGTTGTCAAGACTATACTACCTCCAGAAAGGAATGTAATGTTGGCGAACGTCTCACCTGGTACATCGAGGCTATATCAGCAACTTAACGTTTAATTCGTCCTTCCTACTTTAGCAACGTATCAAAAGCATCGCCACACACGCAGTAGCTAACGATCTCACTCGTTTTGGTTTGATGTATAACGGCTGTTATTTTTCTGCAGTACTCGATACGAAGTCTCACATGTTTGTCGGTATGCGAAACTTCAGCCCCGGTCTTTTCTCGCACTTGCGCACCGGTCACCGTGCTCTCACCCATGGCATTACCAAGGCCCCTCTTGCACTCGCCTTCTTGGTGGCTTTTACACCATACCTTGACGCGCAATATAGAAGTCCACGAACCACCTTGCAAAATTTGTTCAGAGAATCGTTTGGCAGATCTTGAATGCAGATTCGAAATCAGCCTCATACATCGTCTAGTTATGTCTCATTTAGAATAGCTAATTTGGGTTAAAATCCTCCCTTTGTCAGATGGACATGCAGCTGGACACGATTAGACAAAGTCAGAAACGAGGACATTATTACGATCATGCAAACCGCCCTTCCTCGCAAAAAAAGGGCGAGTAGCGATGGCACGGACAATTACTGGAAATCGTTCAGTTCAAAAAGAACTTCATCGATGGAAACAAGTCCACGATTTCAATGGAAGGCGCTTACCCTTTCATCATAGCGACCAATGAAACATAATTCGGCATGAACGAGATGCACTTCTCTTTCAGAATTGCATCAACCATTCTTCTTGAACAGGACTCAACACTCATAAACGGGAACCACCTGCAAACAAGTACGCCATGCAGTATTGTGATACTATGCATATAACGACTTTATAATCTTTTGTTTCAAATGATGATCATAAGCTCTGTTATGCAAAAAGGTGGGCTCTAATAAGGGTTACAGGTTAATCGACATAGTTCAGTTGAAATATGATTGTGTACACGAGATGTGACTTGACGCTTACGCAATCCAGTTTCTGTGCAAAACTTGTACATACTTGCGCGACCGTCAACTTTCAACCGTGTAGGCTGAAAACGGTTGAGATAAGAGAGATGAAAAGTGAGTGGTCGTGACATCTATCCAATCCACTCAAATGGCTGGTTGGTAGCAAAACGAGATCAAAAATTGCAGATACCTCGTCATACGCATTGCATCACAGCAGAATAAGAGTTCAGTGGAGTGGAAAGAAGAGAAAAAAGACGTAAAAGACGACGACCACTCAAAAAAAGGAGATTTATATAAATTCACATCAAGGAGTGCCGTATCAATTTTGAGTACTAATGTGAACAAAACAGTTGATTGGCCATGTTACTCAATCGATGTTCTTGTCTCTGATAATGTATTAGGTTGGCAAATAAGTCCTGCGACAAAAAATTTGAAGCGTTGAAAATTTGTATCAACAGCGTGAACACGGTAGCAAGGGTGATAAACCTGTAGGACATTCCCCGGGCAATCAACACATGAGTAGATATGGGCACGCGTGTGGGCTTTCGCGGCATTATGGTCAATGAATGGACAACACCCGAATCGTATCATCACCTTCTACCAGGCACTCCAAGGGAAAAATGCGAGTGTAGTGGCTCGAAATATCATCAATCTATTCGATGCTAGCACTGCTCACCGATCGACGGTCAACAATCGGTTGGATCGCTCCACTGCAGGAGATACTAGCCTTCTGAGTAACGCAAGCATTGTCGCTTAATTCAATGGAGGTTGAAGGAATCCATCCACTATGAGTTGCTAAACGCAGACTAGATGGACACAGCTATCGCTTGCCTCTATGATCCCCCTTATTAGGCTAACGGGGTTAGAGAAGGACGATCAAACCGCAAACCAGGTCCCTACAGAGGTACAAGCACGTCGAAAATTCGCTTTAAACCCACGTCAAATGTTCAACGATCCCGCTTGGTTCCAGGTTACTCATCAGTCGTACTCCCGGAGTGTTGCCCCTTTCAGCTGCCATGTGCTCCGCCTTCTTGGGCATCCCGTTGTTGGAAAAAATTCGTAACATAATGTGATCTGAAAACGGCAGTCAATTACTTCTTTGAGTCACAGCTCCCTTACTTCTGGAGAGATGGCATCAGTGATTGGCTCAAAGGATAAAAGAAGGTTGTTGACTTCTTTGGTAAAAATTTTTCCGAAAATTGATTAATATGAAAAAATTTAGAAATGATTGAAAAAAGGTCTCCATTCTGTCGCAGGACTTATTTGCCAACCTAATATAATTTTGTCAAGCAATTTGGGAAAATAGCGAATTAGCGGAGAGCCAGCCCTAAAGTTGGTGAGAAACATATCAGATGAATGAGAATGATTCTATGATGACGAAATGTTTGGCCCTTAGTTCTTCAGAACCATGCTAAAACGTCGTCATCCACCGTTTTCATAAGCTCATGACAGATTCCTAAGCCGTTCCAAATGAAGGACACTCAGCTTCTCCCACTCATTTAGCACCCTATATTGCACTCGAAAAAATGTGGCTTTAAAAGAAGGTGAAGTCAAAAATGCCTTCACGAGCTGAAATATGAAACAGCTGAATATTATAGCAACTTATACGCGGAAAATGAAAAAGATTAAGTCGAAATTCTTGCTTTTACACATCCTAAACGCTAGTTGTCTCGCTCGTACAGTTACCGAGTAGCTTGAACTGCTAAGTGGCTTGCTTTCAGCATCAGCTAGTAAGGCAATGCATCATTTCAGGGTAAGAGGACTGGAACTTGTCTTCATGTTCATTCTTTTCTTTTAGCTTTCTCGTTTTCTTCCGGCTCTTTCAATGCAATTCGCTCGGATGTAATAAACCATATTGCCATTCTTCCAGGGGAAAAACTCTTCGAAGGCTTGATTTGGAAAAATGCTGGGAGTCAGGGCACCCACATCGCACCATCCTTCATGAAGTTAGTCGCTGTGAATTCGAACATCTTCGCATCGAAAAGACAATAAACAGCGTCCAAATCGCCAGTATTGCGCATTTCGAATAATGCAATCCTTTCTGGTCCGGAGTACATGCTTCGAATCGCCATTCACTCGTTACTTTAAGTTCTCGTTTGTCGGTTTTATTGCCTTTTTTGAGAAATGTGCCACATCTGAAAAATTCCCTTAATCTACTCGTCATGGAGCTAGTTGGTAAAACTCCAAGTGGTGGCGTCAGTGATGTTTTGCTGATTGCTCCTGCATAGCAAGCTGTAAATCTGAATAGGAGCAGAAACTCCGAATGTATGATTTGGATAGGCGTGAAAAAATAAAGTTCATGAAGCCTGGTCATCATTAGAACTTCACATCTTTTGCAGGCGGAAGGCCGACCTACCATCCCTGCCACTTCTAAATGTTCAGAGATGTCTAATGTATTACGATTGATGCTGCGATGTCCGCGGTAGCCGACGCACACTCGCAATGCCCGGCGGATGTGAAATGTAGGCGCGGGTACTCGCTGCAGGGACGGCATCGGAGGGCAACTACGCTTAAGTGTTCTTGAAGGTTCCGTGGGAGGGTAACACATTTGATAGAATAAATCATAGACTGGTTTTCACCTTTTTAGGCTCTGAGTAAGGCGAAAATCGCCGAAACATTAATCGAAAGAATTGTAATTAACCTCGTGTACTGTAGAATACAATAAATTTGTATTGACAACTACTACAGTTCAAAAGTCTGAAAAGCTCTGGAAAAGCCATGTTGCAAATTGAAATGTAGGCACTTTGACAGGCCGCTACTGTGACTCAGTAGATGCGCCAAAGTAAAACAAAGGATCTTGGCGCCATGCGAGATACGGAATAGTTTCGCCGCAATTCACCGGACAGTTGCCACAAGCTCTTAGTCATTCTTGCGGTGGCTTTAGAATAACCAACAGCGTGGGCGTTGCCTTCAAACGTTGCCGGGATCCGATTGTTAGCATGGTAGTCGATGGTCCCAATCTTTCTCACCTACAATCCATAATCCACAGACTGTCCTGAGCGAATAAAGGGGGTTAGACCCCGCATGACGGGAAATATCTGAAGTGCCAAAAAAATCTATATTGTTGCAGGTGACCTGATGGGCATGTTGGCACTACCAAAAGTGATGCGATCGACGCGGTGGGCTCAGATATGGGTAACGTAACGCCCGTGGTGAGCGAATCATCAGATACGCTGATCCATGAATGATATACGCTGATTCATGAACTCACTCCTGCGAGTACGGAAATGTAATGCTCACCAAATCCTCTATTATAGCAGCGAACCAGAATACAAATAGACATTACTCCTGTTAAACACAGCGATCGAGGGCTTGTGGAAGTTGCGAAAATCATGCCATACGAGACGGCTGCCTCGCAACATTGGCCACTAATATCACACTCATGATCGCTTCACAAAAATAGGAAGAAGTTGAGCGAAGCGAGCTAGCGAAAATCGGATAATTGTGATCAAGGGGAAAAGGGTTGGTTATGACCACTTGAATCAAGCTGCGGCCTATCACGACTGCCGAGGAAACCCGAAAAGGCGCTGTCAAAGCAATGGCCTACGTTGCTCGCCGCGAGCTAGGTGAAACAAAGCCCGCACTGCGCAACCTGACAAGTTATTAAGGCTGTGGAAGGATAGTGCTAGAGAAAAGGTAAACAAAAAATAAAGATTCCACCATGAACTTCACTTGACTTAGCGAGTGATTAACGGCAGAAAGGCCGGGGTGCGAAGGAAGTGGCAGAGAAAACTGTTCATCATGCACTTCTTCTAGTATAAACAACTGATGAGTGACAGAAGCACCGGAAAGCGAAGAGAATGGCAGAAAAGGCTGTGTTCTTGCGAAAATCTGCGCACTATGTTGATGTCATAGAGAAACTCGAAGTGCGATGATGATTGGTACATTCAGCACCACTTGAGGATACCTAAGCGACAGAATTTGCCAAACAGCGTGGTTTCGTTGCCGGTTGCAGCCTCAATGATGCAATACGTGGCTCGCTTCCTTTGCTTGAAAAAACACTGTAAGGAACGAAGAGCTGTGCATCTCGTTTCTCAAGTCAAGGATGGATTTTGGTCATGTGCGGTGCCTTAAGTTATATGGTATGCCCCACAATGTTTATATGCCTTAGGAGCAATCTTCTTTTGCATTTGTGCCCGATTAAACATCACACAAAGAAAGCTGCAGTAAAGCTATGCATCATATCCTTCTAAAGCGAGTTTGCGAGACGAAATTGTGAGCTTATCTCATAGGACATCTGGTAGACGGAAACGTTATTACTCCTTCACAATGTTGTTATTCGTGGAAGACGGTCGGTTGAGAATGCTCTGGTCAAAGGCTAAATCAAGACAGTGGTTCTGAGAAAGGTCGCTGATGTGGTTTATTCTAGCCTCTTAAAAGCATCTGGCTGAGTCTTTTTTCACCACCCTCAGTAAAACTATATGCTGGCATCTGTTGAATCTGCAGTTCCCTGTCAATAGTTCTTAACAGATCTGCAGAGGAATGCAATCTTTGTTCACCAACAGTGGGTCCATACACGGCATAATGTCGCTATTACCTTTTCAAAACACATGTACGCTTGAATTGCTTTCTACATTTGGAGTTAAGCCTCATGTATGCTAGTGACATTAAGATGCACTAGGCTGTCAAGACAGTTGATGCCTTTTTTCCGATGATCTTTGAACCACCAATGAAATAGTTCAGAGTCTGAGAAGATCAGAACTTCCGTCGGTGAGAAGGCAGTAAGTTTCCACAGAGCTTCTTCGATCATGTAACCTGCGGAACACTCACTGGGCATTCAATCAAAATCACGATTTCCTCATCACGAACCTGGGTTGGCCTACAACTTTAGAACA